TGTATGTATGTATGTATGTATGTATGTATGTATTCTCAAACTAATCGAATGCCTGATAGAGGCTAATCTGACAGATATACACGGCAACCAATTCTTCCTAACGTGGCATATCTAAGAGAGAGGGGAGGGGCTGTTTGCCGGAAGAGGGAGGTATATCAAAATAATTTTGCTTTTAATAGATAGCCCTCGGTTTGCTCTAAAAAAGGCCTATTTTGTGTTGGCCATGACGTCATGTGACGTCATTAAATTAGCCACTATGGATCTTGGCCTTCATTAGAAAATAGCGCAAACTGACGGATGATTAACCCATCCCCGCATTGAAGCAAGAGAAAACTTAAGAAAAATAAGAATTTAGTCAAAAAAGCCAAAAATTGGCTGGCATCTTAATGTCAAATGACAGATAAACAGCTGACACATCAAAATCTTTGTTTCAGCATACACAGATAAAATCTCCTATTTCAAAATCCTGAGGAAAACTCTTTGGGAGGGGTTTCAGACACCGTACACCCGAGCCAGTTAAAATGTCGACATGCATGGATTATCAGCCGTATCCTAAATGCATGAGACTGCTCTTGATTGAGGCCTTACATGAGGGGCCCTAAGACATCAAGTTGCTAAGCGCTATTTATCGCCAAATAACTCACCTGTTTTTCTTTTGTTGCAAAAGTTATCGCCTTTATTTGGGCATTTTCCTCTAGTTGTTGGTTGTTTCCAAGGTCTACGTAATCTTTAAAGGTTTCATCAAGTACTTGGAATTTGACATTCGCTGGTGAGATATCATCTGCCAACACATCAGAGAACTCCGAGAGGAAAAGTGAACGCAATTCCTTGACTTCCACGCCTTTCTCGTAGCTCATGATGCGCTTGGAGTCACCGAAGGTCACATGCACCTTCTTTGATTCCTTGGACGCAATCGTCAAATGTCGCACTGTGAAATAAATAAGTTATTTTAGAATTTCGATCAAGTACTGGAAACTTGCTGATATTCATTTGACACATCCAGCAGCTTAGAGATACCCACGATGTCACCTTTCTCATTGTCATTTAATGTTCCTGTTGACATATTCTAGAGGCAAGGACCGGGTCTCACTTAAGCGATCTCAAATGTTTTCAAATTTTTGGCCAATTTCAAATTTTGGCAGTGGTTACATCGAAATACCAACATATTTTTTTGATGGACATAATCGTTGGTCACAAACTGTCTAACTTTTTTCGTTTGAGTGGCTGCCGCTTACATTATTTGCGCTGGCTTTCATATTTGCGATCGAAGGAGAGTTGTCTCTCTGAGGTCATTTGTTCGCGATATTACTGCCAGTAACCACACCGAGGGTACGAGACAAAATTACAAAATTAAACGCCACAGTAGAGCACTTATGTGCTTGTGACGTCAGTGTCTGGCTTAAATCTGGCCGATTTTGATGCAATGTTCGCAGCAAAATGATCTTGTAAAGATTTATTTATTCTGAGAAAGTATAAAACTGTATGCGATTTTTGCAACCTGAAACAGATCAATAGCTTTCAAATGACACATCATACTTGGGTATAGGCTGTATTAATTAAATTTGCCACGGCAATTGAAGACTAGAAGGGTAAATAATAGCGGCTCTCATCCATTCATGAATATCTGCAAAAAGGAGTCAGATGGACCAAGTTGAAAAAAATTTGGCCCGCTATCGATATCGCCGCGCCAAACTGGACTAGCCGATCAAAACGTCAAGCATAAAACATGATTGAGCACGGCAGTTATACACAACTTAAGCAGGGCATTGGTTTGAATCCTGTTAAAATCTGAATTGTTTTCAGGCTTAGTATCTTTCTCCGCATTTCAATTATATAATATTTCATCTATTCACTTGTAAATTAAGTTATTTTTCCGCCGTAATTTTATCCAGACATGTTTTAAGAATATGACAGCTCAATGATTAAAAAACAAAGTTGCTTGCTTTGCCAAAATTTGGAAGCCTCAGAGACAGCACTTAGGCTTTTTTTAACATTGGCGGAATTTTGGCAATCCGCAAAAATTTGGCAATTTTTCGAAACTGGGGGTTGCACTTATTTTACGTTACTTGTTGACAGATTTATCAGGCATAATTACAAACAAAATAGGCGCTCTAATTTTTAAAATTGGAGTAGGAACTGTTGAACATCTATTACCATGAACACATTACTTTTACCACAGTTAAAATATCTTTAAAACGCGCTTGCTTGTTTGTTTGTTTGTTTGTTTGTTTGTTTCTTTCTTTCTTTCTATCTTTTGTTTTGTTNCCCCCCCCCCCCCCCCCCCCCCTCCCCGCGCGCTTGGTATAGTTTACCACCCCTGGAGGTCTGGAGGTTTTGGAACTTTTTTCCACAATGATCATGCAGCCTCTAGTGTATTGTTCATTAACTTACTCATGGAGAACTGATAAATAAGATAGATAGTTAAGAGGTATGTTTATGAAGATTTTGTATCTTTCTATTCAAACCATCGTTTGTCAAAGCTATCAGTTTCTTAGTGGTTGTTTATGCGATTTTTGCAACCTGAAACAGATCAATAGCTTTCAAATGATACATCATACTTGGGTATAGGCTGTATTAATTAAATTTGCCACGGCAATTGAAGACTAGAAGGGTAAATAATAGCGGCTCTCATCCATTCATGAATATCTGCAAAAAGGAGTCAGATGGACCAAGTTGAAAAAAATTTGGCCCGCTATCGATATCGCCGCGCCAAACTGGACTAGCCGATCAAAACGTCAAGCATAAAACATGATTGAGCACGGCAGTTATACACAACTTAAGCAGGGCATTGGTTTGAATCCTGTTAAAATCTGAATTGTTTTCAGGCTTAGTATCTTTCTCCGCATTTCAATTATATAATATTTCATCTATTCACTTGTAAATTAAGTTATTTTTCCGCCGTAATTTTATCCAGACATGTTTTAAGAATATGACAGCTCAATGATTAAAAAACAAAGTTGCTTGCTTTGCCAAAATTTGGAAGCCTCAGAGACAGCACTTAGGCTTTTTTTAACATTGGCGGAATTTTGGCAATCCGCAAAAATTTGGCAATTTTTCGAAACTGGGGGTTGCACTTATTTTACGTTACTTGTTGACAGATTTATCAGGCATAATTACAAACAAAATAGGCGCTCTAATTTTTAAAATTGGAGTAGGAACTGTTGAACATCTATTACCATGAACACATTACTTTTACCACAGTTAAAATATCTTTAAAACGCGCTTGCTTGTTTGTTTGTTTGTTTGTTTGTTTGTTTCTTTCTTTCTTTCTATCTTTTGTTTTGTTTTGCTTTGTTTTGTTTTGTTTTTTTCTTTTTTGCTATTTTTGTCTCTCTCTCTCTCTCTCTCTCTCTCTCTCTCTCTCTCACTCTCACTCTGTCTCTCTCTCTCTCTCTCTTTCTTGTTTTGTTTTGTTTTTTTGTTTTTGTTTTTGTTTGTTTGTTTGTTTGTTTTTGTTTTTGTATTTTTGCTCATTAGGAACTTGGTGGTATTACTGGTATATATTTCACAGACCTCCCAGAGTTTGAAACAGGAAATGGTTCACAAAAGCCAATATGGCAGGAAGTTGATAGAAGCGCGCTATAACCAATTCAGCGTTTACATGTAGTAAAACTTAAAGCGGTCTCAGTTACTGTTTCTGTGATCTGGCTGGCTAAAGATTACCCTCGCCAGAGGAGACGCATTTTACACCAGACGAACGCAGATTAAGGTCTCAAAAATATTATTCATTCTGTTATCCCATTAAACTATTTTTAATATCATTCTTACTGAATTCCATTTTCTCGGGAAAGACGCCAGCCATATCTACATCAGCCTAATTACATCACTCCCCCATTCATGATATATCGAACAATTTCCCTTGCCCACTAACGTTTCTATAACTCAACTGATTGACAGACAGCTGGAGATATAATTTATATTCCATCGTCTGTTTCCTTCCGTATTTCCTGTCTTTCCAAGAAGCTAAGAACTTCCACTACCCCAGATTGTACATCGATACAAGTTCGATAACCATTCCTTAACATTATTCTTTGCTATATAAATAAAGGTCGGCAACTAAGGGTCAAATTTTTCCCATTGTCACACTACGGAAACAAAATTGCTGTGCGAACTCAAGTTGCTGGTCATCGATGACACTGCCAACCGTTAACATGCTATTCCTCGGGCGTGTTTAAAATACTAAATGGCGAGGTGGCACTTCGATTAGCCTAAATAGAGCGTAGGTTAGCCTAGATATCACCGACTCGACAGTGGTTAACTCTCAATAATAGTAAGGTTGCCCTTAAAGACACCCGTAGCCCACATTGACTCTCACTCGCAGTGCCAAATCGTCATGTCGCCATTTTATGTTTTAAACACGCCCCTATTGATCTATTCATTGTGTTATGACAGACATGCATACTGTACTTATATAGGTAGCTGTTCCTATGTGCTGTATATATCAGCAAAGCCTTGATCCAACATCACATATCGGCGATCAATACTGCAATGTCTAGACAATTCTGAAAATAAACTGTATAGCTGTCAGCATTTTTGGCCATCTTAACTTCCAGCGAGCTTCACTGGAAGGGCCGGCAGAATGGTAATTGTCATAGCTGAATTGACTGACACACAGCTGGGGAACTAGAAGTACTGGAGATAATTATTCCATCGTTCGTTTCCTTTCGTATTTCCTATCTTTCCAAGAAGCTTAGAAACTTCCGCTTACCTATATTGCTTAGGCGCGCTTAAAACACGAAATGGCGAAGTGGTGAAATGGCACCTCGATTAGCACAAATAGCGCTCCGGTTAGCCTAAATAGCTTGCAGGTTAAAGCCTAAATATCACTGAATCGACAGTGGTTAGCTCTCAATGCTAGTAAGGTTGCCTTACAAACACCCGTAGCCCACATTGACTTTCTCTCGCAGTGCCATGTCGTCATGTCGCCATTCTGGCATGCTTTAAAGTTGTTTTCGGCGAGAAAGCATTAATTAGTGTATACAGGCAAAGCTGAGAATTGATTTCGTGATGTGGTCGCAGATGTATGACAAATGCAGCGAAATTTTATTTGTCTTCGTCTTGGATCCGGTGTCGGATCATACAGGTAAGCTAAATTCAAAAGTATTTATGTTAACCGCCATATATTTTGTCGATTAAGCCTAGTTTGCTCTTTACGTGAGTACAGTTGCCTTCCCGGGTGGGCGACGAATCCAACTGCTTAGCCGCATAATTTATTGTCACTCTTAACAACTTCATGATCGGAGCGTATATTTGTATACCTCATTCACCTCCCAATCAGTAAAATTCTTTGCCAAGTATCTTAATGATACAGAATCAGAAAGATTGTGTGAATTTTTTGCTCTTTTGTCGCGGCGTTCTGCTTTCAAAAGAGAGGCCGCAGTCATGATAAGTTATATTGGTCACCGTTGCTACTGTTGTGTTTTGTTTAAATAAACTTGCTCGCGAAATACTTGAAACAACTGAACCAAATCATTGCCCCTATAATCCACACTATCCCATTAACTGACTGCAGTAGATATCTGGAGTTTTAGCAAACCACGACGGCGACGGCAACGAGAACGTCACCAAACAAAAGGTTTAATGAGCAGAACCATTGTTCTGCACGTGTGTTTGCCGTCCTCTGCAAAGCAACAACGTGAACGTATTTTGGAGAACGTGAACCGCAATGGCTGATTTTTCGTGTCTTCCTTTTGATTTGAACGCTGTCATTACATATTTAGCCTGAGCAGAGTTTTAGACCAATATGCGTACTGAACAGATCTAGTACACAGTTGGGGCATTCGAGGGTAAAATATAAATACTGTTCTTTTTTTACAAGGCGTCGTCCTTGGCGCCGCCGTCGACATTGCTAAAACTCCCTTATGACTCACCTGGAACGATTTGACGAATCAAAGTACGGGTAAACGATATGCTAGCTCTCTTAGCAACACTGAAACTGGTCATTTTTCGTTGTTATATTCGCGATGATCATCAAATATACTGCTCCAAGTGCTATACAGTATACGATGAAATCGGTGATGTAAATTATCGATGCAGGATTAAAATGCCCCCGATCAATACGCATTGGCACCCAAGCAATCCAAACAATTAGGTCCCTCCCTCAAAGTGTCTTTTTAAGTCTTTTGTTTTTCCAGATGGAATTTCTTTTTTCCTTGTTTTAAGCTTTGATTAATGTTTTCAAGTTTGTCATATGTACGCTGCCAACGATAAATAGTTCAATCATGCCAATATGGCTTAAAACAATTAATCTAGTTTTGTTGTCACATTGAAAAACAAATCGTGGTTTCCTGCTTGAAATGTCAGTCGCGTTATTTATTCCCACTTATAAGTAAAAGTCACAAATTAAGGGGCTTTTTCCTGCACAGCAACCGTTTAATCACCATCTTAATTCTTTGCTCAATATTAATACATTCTAAAGTTCATTCAGCGAGCGGTCTCCGGTGTGGCGGTACAGGGACGGGGGAGGATAGGGGGATNGGGACGGGAAGAAGGTTGGATTTTAGATGCTTTTCGGAAAATTTGGGCATGTGAAGTTTGATCTGTCCCCGGCTACAAGGTGCAAGACAAGACAAGGCGATGTTCTGCTTGTTTTTCGTTTTGTTTGTTTGTTTTGGTTTCAGTTGTGAATGCTCTGAGAGATATCAAAACATTAAATTCACACCACTACTAAAGCGAGATCACGATCATTCTCGCCCCTTTCACTTGACAGTCTCTCACTCTCAGGATGACAGTAGACAATTACTGGTTTAGGGCAACTGTGCCAACCGCAAGGGTCATAAATAAGGTATCCAATTTTTGGCCTGGTCATAAATAGGGTAACGAAAATGTCAGATTTTGCTCAAAAATACTGTAAGGGTTTTGGGAAGCAGGACACACACAGGGGAGTAAACCCCCCCCCCCCCCCCCCCCCCATCCCCGCCTTCCCCCCAACCCGGCCCGTAAGACAACAGCATTGAAGTAACATCATTGATGAGTTCAATAACAAAAACACATACTTCGTTTCCAGTGGCAAAATAGACGACTTAATGTAGATTTTTACTCCTTTAATTAAGGACACAAATAACAGCATCGTTCAAAATAATGTATGACTCAACAAAATTCAATAGACGTAACATTTGCAGCTGAATAAATAATTGTCATTAACTGTGCAGGTGGAAAACATTCGGCAAACAGACGGAATTCAATGCTAATTCGCTCAGCTAATGAACTTGTTTAACAGAGTAATATTACTTGGACCTAGTGGCAGAAAAATAGAAACCAGGTCGTTTTCTCTGGAGCAAGCGACTATTACTTTGCCATTTCAAGGAATATGAACTACAATTGTAGTTTCTGTCTTGATAAAAATTACAAAAAATTCAGAGCCAGTTGCGTGTTAAAGTACTGAAAGCAAAAGTGTAACTGAATAACTTAGAGATGTTTGACAGGAAAATATAAAATTAACATTATTGCAACCTATATATTGGATTATGTTTATCCTAGCAATTGCGAAGGTTATCTTTCAAAATGGTATCGGAAGTTTTAGTTCGTCTTCCTGTTTATGCATTTGACGTCACAAACAGGAAAAAAAACAGGTCAGCGGAAGATACAAGAATACCCTTTGCGACATTAAGATTAGCTGTCGTGGGCGCCTGAATTTCTAACAAAGGTTTAAAGTCGATGAAAATTAAAAATGTCCGAGGAAAACAAACATTGACGTGAAGCTTCTGTAATATTAGAAGTTTGTTACCGAATAATCTTTAAACATGACGACAGGTCAAGTTACGAATTTCCCATCTCCTGACAAAACATTGATCCGGTTTATTCTACAGAGGTATTGCGGGAGTGATAGAGTATTTCATCCCATTCCACAGGCCAGAGACGATAGAGACATCTCCGAAAAGCTCCATAAAAACTTTCATTGCAGCTGTGTTTTCAAAGGTGATTTTATGTATTTATCTTCCTACTTGTAGAATAATGTGCATTTAACGCTCGAATTAATTATTCATAATAATCTCAATTACTTAATGAGTGTCATTCTGTTTATAAACAGTTGCTTTGCGGGAGAGAATATAGTTCTGGACACGATCGACACGAAGAAAGGACAGAAAAACATCAGCTTACAAGGACAGCAAGGTAAGCTTGGGTTTAGGGTTAGGGTTAAGTTTCGGCTTGATTTGATTTTAAATAAATGCTTTTTTTATTGGAAAATGAAAATAAATCCGGCTTAGAAAAGCGCCACGTTTGTTACATAATATCTGCTCAATATATTTTTGCCATATCTGCTAACCACAGATAAAAATATTTTCAACTTTGTCAAAGCTTTGATGAGGTCAACACGGGATGCAAATCTCAAAACAAGCTCAGTATACGGACGTCAACCTGTTCTTACCGCAACAAAAAACATTTATTTGTCGAACAAATCAACAAAATGTCAAAGTCGAAGGCTTTTGATACGAAGTACTTGAGATATGGCAATAATTCAAGTTATATAATTGAATTTTTTTCTTTTTTCTTTTTGGACCCAAGGTGGAAGGGCGCTTATCCACTCAAAGAGAATTTTGCTTCCAATTGGGTTTATTATCTGGTGGGCCGGCTCACCGTTTATAGCCTTAATGGCGCAAACGACACATTTAGACACGTTTGGTTATGATTGTAGCTTGCCACTTTGAATAATTAAAAAGTGGCCCTGAAACGAAAAAAGGGAAGTGTCGCCGATATAGGGATAATATATTTGACGACATAAACAAACTTGCCGCAGTAAGAAAAACCGACATCAATTCTATCATAGACAAAATGCTGCACGTAGGTTGGCTTCAGATCCCTTGAAAATTCTGATCTTTCTCCCTTGTTTCTATTAATAAATTCAATTGTTTCCTGATGAAGTTCCCTTTAATAGTAGAGATATCCCTTGTTCTTTCAAGTTAATTGTTCCCTTGGAAATAAAGAATATCATGTTACTTTGTTTCCCAAAACCCCTGGGAGGCCAGGGGCCTCCTAGGTTGCTTAGGTTGCACGTTAGAAGCAGCCTTTACTTTCTACCAGACAAGACATGGTTCGTAGATCAGTGATTGAGCGGACCGTGGAAGTCAAAAAGGTACTTCAGCAAACCCAAGATTCGGAAACAAGGCTTATTGACCTTGATGTTAATTGTGCGCCTTCTCTAGATTTCTCATATTAAACTACGCTTTTCACACTGATGCGTGTTTCATGGTAGGCCAGGCAAATGATGCAAGAAACAGCTCGTCTGTTGTTACTGAGTTGCTCCTTGGTAGTTCTTTATGGAATTCCTGTCACCAGCAGCTGCACTGCAATGGAAAACCAGCATTTAAGTAAGTAGAGATAATCACGTTTCCGTTGAACCACTCAAACAGCGCCATTCTGTAGTTTGAAATGCATAATTCTAGACATATTCGGCTCGTAGTAGAAAGACCGACGACAAGACTGTAAAATTTATTGGGTGAAAAAATAAAATCATTTAAATGAAATGAGAGTAGTAAAAACCTATTTTAAACATTGTCCGGTAAATAGTTCAGCTCCAAAGGAAAAACGGATAAAGCTAATATTTAAGACAAGAGGAAAATAACTATAATTATTAAATTCTCAACCTCGGATAATGCAATTATAGCTTTCTGATTGGTTCACTAGATCTCGGTTACCAGCCATTATACCTGCGTTTGACCTTATATGGAAATGAATGCGGCAAATGTCGTGCAGCATAAATTTTTTCCCGGGAAGCCAAGTTTCGTCGACAGAAAAAAAAAATGATGAAAAAAGCAGATTTGGTGAGCTATCCACGGAAGAAGTACAAGAAATCATGGACAAGGCTGTCCCAGAAACAACAAAAAANTTGAAGTCTGGACATGGCATTTCCCGCTCGATAAAATTCAAGTACATCCGGGACATTGCTATTTGTGAGCAAAACATGGCTACGAACGGAGCGAAGAACATTAGGTCAAGCGCTGATCGTGAGTAGAATTTCCTTGTTTCGCTAGCACGGAAGAAATTTATTTGCGTGGCTTCCGGGCGATAATTGACGTGACGACAACATGTTGAGTGTTCGCTTACTGCTAACTATGGCCTAGTTTGTTTGAATTTCAATCGATTCTCGATGTAGGAAACTCTTGTTCAGTCCATTTAGGACGATGCAGGCCTTTAGAAAGCAATAGATTGGCTCTCCGCCGCCGTTTTGATATCTGTACGTTCGTGTTGATTTAGACTCCAATTTCATGTTAAAAGCACTCTTAATTAAATTGTACAATTCATGATTCAACGAAAAGACGGTGAATTTAGTCTTCCTGGCCACAAAAGGCATACAGGAGAGTTATTTGCTGCTATTTGAGCTACGATAAGCCTCGTGGAAAGCTAGCTCAAGGACAGAATTATAGCAAGATTATCAGTGACAAGTCAAATTCTATGGCTATGTTTTTGCGAATTCGGTCAGATATTGAGATGAAATGTCACGTAACGGCTACTTTTTGGCTGAAATACAGAAGTAAATAACCGATTCCACTGCTTACCATGTTCTTGTTAGCGTGACTGGCTAATTTAACACACAGTAAAGACATAGTGAGGTCATTTTAAATCGCAAAGGTTAAGCCTGTCTAAATTAGTGCCGCGGCGAACCAAATGATCAACTTAAGCTCTAATTTAGCTTTGTTTGGCTCGTTCGATTCATTTGCAGCGACTTCAAAGGCTTGTATAGGCATGGTATGGACTCTATTAAGAGTACATGGGGTAGATAGCACTCTCGGTACGACATGGCCATATTTATGTACATTTTCTAACCGATTTTCCAAAAACATGCCCACTATTTTGGTGCAAAGTCTTTAACATGGTTTTCATAAATTCAGACATATATATATAATGACAAATGTAAATCCTTGAGCAAATTGCTCAATATTTCATAATACTACTCATATGTGACTGGAGAAATTACAAACAATCCCGTCTTAAATTGCACAACAGTACAAAATCCAAACTTGAGGGTCGTGCAGTGGTATTCTCGTGATGCGTGATTAGGTGATTTTATTTTCTGTCAAACGTGATTTTAGGAAATTATTCTACGTGACCCGTGACCTGAAGGTTTTGCGTGACCCATGAAAAACCTGAATTAACAACCGATATTGTGATTTCACCACTCTATTCTACGTTATTTTGAGACGCGAGTCCACCGAATGGTTAGAGTCGTCTATCGAGAATGACATAGGTGTATGCGATTTGCAAAATGCCGCCTTGACTTAGCTTTTCACGATTTTCCTTTCTTCAAACACTCTTTCAAGTGTAATAAGAACAGGTTATTAAAAAGAATATCTTACTTGCTTATTTTCGCGATTCGGGGGAAAGAAATTTGTATATCCGTGATCCGTGACCCTCTATTTTTTCCGTTCGTGAACCGTGCCAGAGACTAACCCCTCCNCCCCCCCCCCACCACCCTTTTGTAGGACCCTCAAACTTGACGATAAGTGTGCCTGATCCAGCCGATCACACACATATATATTTTTTATTTCAGTTTTATTTGATCCTTTAACACATATTTGTATCTGTTTACTAATTTCTAGACCCTTTCGCTCCTTCTCTGGAAATCAACACTGTAGAATTTCCGAACCAAGATGTCCTACCAACTGGTTACAACATTACAATTACTTGTACCAGCAATTATTCTAAGAATAACTGGGGCTTCCATGACTATGGTCAGCCATTTTGGATACAGCGTTTTTTCAACGAAGATTACTTAGGGGACTGTGGTGGCGGCGATGGTGATAGCGAAGATTCAAAAGTATGTACTTTTGTCATCCAAAACGCTACAGAGAGAGATTCTGGAAATTATAGCTGCGTGACACGCAATCAATTAGATTGCACCGCTGGCACTATCTTTCTGTATTTTGAAAGTAAGTATTAAAAACAATTTCAGTGTTTCCTGGGTGTTTACGAGTGTCGGTTGGATGAGCTTTGAATGGTGCAGACATTTTTTTCTTCTTTTTCCAAACTTAGCAAAGCAACTGAAGAGAAAAGCATCCTATTTAAAATTAGGTTTCCAGTGACTGTGCGCATGTTTTATCTTGAAGAGAGACTGGAAATGTGAGAAATGAACAAATATCAGGAAATACCAATACAGTTGTAGTTCTCACTCTGCGGGATGAAATTACTACCTCAAAACATAGTCCAGAATTTTCATTCGATATTCTTAGAACTGCTTTCAAAGCGAATGGAGAATTGATTAAACGGTAAGCACCCCGGCCTGCGTGTATGTTTTTGTTTGTTTCTTAGTTCGATTAGGTCTTTTTTTTTCTGATAATTATATTTTAAATTTGTGGTCACTCTCTATATAATTTACAATTCATATTTTAACCTCGTTCCTTTGGGCAAAAAAAATGTATTAACGACATGCCCGTGAACAACTTCTTAAACTTATTTTCTTTCATAATTTCTTTTTTCCATTTTTTTTTTCTAAAAAAATCGCCATGGTGGGATTGTGCATTTCAGAAATGCAAAAAGAAGTGGACGATCGTATAATTCGAGGCGGAGATCGGTGGAAATAAGAAAAATCTAGAAAAACCAAGTAACATTGCCCAAAACAAGTACGGGTAGCTCGTTCAAATTTAAAATCAATTAAACGAATTTAACATGTTACTTGTCTAGATTTTACATTTCTTCCTGACATTGCGTCATGTTTTACGTGTACCGTTAAGATGGACAAAAGGAATTGACGCGATTATCCTGAAGCACTTAAAGCCATTGCACCTATCAGTACTGTTTGCAGATGCTAACTGTATTTCTTATTGACCTATTATTGTTAGATCGAAAGACAATTAATGTTACCTCAATGTTTAAAAGGCATTCCAGCTGGGAAAAATATTTTATTTTACTTATTCCCGCACTGACTGAAACAAATTGAAGCCCTTCTCCCAGCTAGATTCCTTTACTTCTCTTCTGTATTCTGAGATGATGTTCACAATATGATTATAGAGCCGTCACCTCCACAATTCACCCTCACACCACCTCACCATATGAACGTTTCCGCTGGAAGCTCAGTGAACCTAACCTGTAAAGCGACAGCTATCCTCAAGCCTGTCATCAGTTGGTATAAAGATGGTCAGCGTGTACCCAGGGGCAACATCACCGAAGTTAATGGGATTTCCCTGCTACCTTTGAAAAATGTGCAACCACACGACCAAGGAGAGTACTGGTGTCAGGCAGAAAACGCAGAGGGTTGGAGCAGAACTTCTAGCACACGTCTCAAGTGTAAGACACTTTGTTAACAACTTTTGTGCATAATTAGGTCGAACTAACTAGTATTAACCCCAAATTCATGTTCTCAGAATACAAACCTGTAATTTGTTTCATAAGCGAGTTCTTAAGGCAGCCAAATTGCCCAAATGAAAGTAGAGTAAAACTGCCAAAGCTTTGGGATCAATTAAATATAAACGAGGAGTTATGCCTAAGGTTGCTTTTTTCAAAAAAAAAAAACAAAAAAAAAACAAAAAAACAATCGATTTTGTTGCCTTTGTCTTTGAAAGAGCTACCTATTATCTAGATGCTACAACATGGCAAATCAAAGAGCGTATTTTTTATCTCTACAGTATTTTCAAAGCCAACCATACTGCTTCATCCAAAAGACTTTTCCATTTACCTAGCGGATAAGGCTATCGCGGTTATTTTCACCTGTGAGGCTACTGGATTCCCACCTCCGGTGATCAGCTGGCTGAAGAACAACTTGACAGTAACGAGTGGAACACTCATCAAGAATGGTAGCATCTCCTCTCTAGTTCTCCGTGTAGAGAATAGGGAGGAACCCCCGGGGAAGTATAGATGTATTGCAGAAAATTCATTAGGGGAGACATCTTCCAAAGAGGCAGCACTGGTAATCCGTCCACGAACACGCAGCCTAGGTGTGAGAAAATACTTGTGTAGCAACATTTCGTTCCTCTTGACTTTTCCATACGACTATTTACTATGATGCTTGTCTGGTGCTCCGTTTGCTTGTTTGTTTGTTTGTTTGTGACTCTGTTTATCGGCCTCACTGCTTGTTCGTATGCTTTTCTGTCTGTCTATGTCTGGCCGTCTGGCCGTCTGTCCCTCTTTTTCTCTTTTTTTCTTTCTTTTTTTTTTCTTTCTTTCTTCCTCTTTTTCTTTCTATCGATTTATAACCGTCTTACTTTCTTGGTAGATCTAGATGATCTAGATGCTACAACATGGCAAATCAAAGAGCGTATTTTTTTATCTCTACAGTATTTTCAAATCCAACCATACTGCTTCATCCAAAAGACGTTTCCATTTACCTAGAGGATAAGGCTATCACGGTTATTTTCACCTGTGAGGCTACTGGATTCCCACCTCCGGTAATCAGCTGGCTGAAGAACAACTCGACAGTAACCAGTGGAACACTCATCCAGAATGGTAGCATCTCCTCTCTAGTTCTCCGTGTACAGGATAGGGAGGAACCCCCGGCGAAGTATAGATGCATTGCAGAAAATTCATTAGGGGAGACATCTTCCACAGAGGCAGCACTGGTAATCCGTCCACGAACACGCAGCCTAGGTGTGAGAAAATACTTGTGTAACAATATCTCGTTCCTCTTGACTTTTCTACGCGACTATTTACTATGATGCTTGTCTGGTGCTCCGTTTGTTTGTTTGTTTGTTTGTTTGCTTGTTTGTTTTTTTGTCACTCTGTCTATCGGCCTCATTGTTTGTTCATATGCTTTTCTGTCTGTCTATGTCTGTCTGTCTGTCCCTCTTCTCTCTCTTTTTTCTTTCTTTCTTTCTTTTTTTCTTTCTTTCTGTCTTCCTCTTTTTCTTTCTATCGGTTTATAAACGTCTTACTTTCTTGGTAGAATTTGCTTGGGAGAATTTGCTTGACATTGCACTAGTCACCAGTAGTCCTACCAACCTCAGGAGCTACGCCTAGATAATAGCGTATGTCAAAACATTTTATTTCTTTTATGCAGAGTCTGAAAGTGCTATTTTGGCATTATTTGTGGATGCCGTATAACTAATAGCGGATGTCGATAGTTAACTTGCAGCTTTATCAAATTGCTAAACGTTTCATACACCCGAAAATGACTCAACATAGCATATACAATATGGATAACTCGTTTGAGAACTGCCTTAACTCTACTTTGATACAGCGGCGTCTCGTATCAACGAGATTGGTTATATACAGCTGTACAACATGCCATGGCAAAGTGGCTAATCATAGCCGAACAATTGTGAAATCTGTCAGGAAATTATGACTCACTGCAGTACGACCTCTTTTTTAGATGACATTTCGACGTCACTCGGCGTTTCAAGAGTTGTGTGGATCTCAGTTGCCATAGGAACAGTTCTTCTATTTGCTGTGGTTGTTTCCATTTGTCTAGTGCATAACAAATGTAAGAAAGCTAATTATGAGATCAACAAAGAGGTGAGGAGGTTGAAATTGACAGTTTAGTCATTGTTTAGTTCAAACAAACAGAGCAAAAGAGCTGAATAACAAACAGCAGCGCCCTTCAGCATGAAGGGCACAACTAATTAGCGTAGGACTGTACCACACACGCGATCTGTAGTCCATGATAGGTGTGTAATGATTTACAAAATATCCGAGGGACACCACAAGATTATGATCGTGATCCAGATCATATTCTCTTGAGGAGACCGAAAACCACTCCACAAGAAATGGGCCAACGAATCATATAATACACCCACGTCATTATCAGGGTATGAACCAGCTCCCCTTGGATTTTATCATCGATCAAAATTTAATGAACTAGTTTACCTTTTTGTGATTCAAGGTCAGTGCCAAAAGCTTGGTTTCGCGCTTTCCACAAAGTATGATTATTTCATTTCTAAGGGAACATAACTTCACTCTCTTTGCTGCCCTTTGATTTTATTCGATTGTTCTCGCCCTCTTAGTTAATCTTTACTTATTAGTAAACGGGATCGACAGATAAGAGAACGTTCTGAACCCAAATATCTGATTCAAAACGTTGCTGTTTCAAATGTTTAGATTGTTTTGTTCCTAGTGGTGTTTTTGTTTTGTTGTTGTTGTTGTTGTTGTTGTTTTCTTACTTTTTCACCGGATTAGTTGCCCTTTTTTGTTCACACTCGCTGAACTTGAGTGAACGACTTTTCTTGCTGTCGTTTTATTTTTGCAGATGAAAGAGGAGCAACGTTTTCCGCACCTTCACATCGGAGATACTGCGGGTCAACTCAGAGACGACCGGACCGTTCCACGCTACCAAATGACAAACATGGCATAAAAAAACTGAATTGTTTTCATACTGATATAAATCTACCCAGACCAAGTAGTAAAAAGTTGCATTGTCCGAGGGTTACACTACTCCGGAGAAATTTTAAGACGCAACTTTATCTCTGCGGCTAGGCCTACCGTCCACTCTAATCCGTCACGAAAACGGAGCCTTTCAAAAACGCTCTTCAAACTGGAGTTTGTAGTTAAAACGGAAGACATTTTGAAAACGAAGCTTTTCGAAAACGAAATATCATGAGATATTTCTGCTCGAGTTTTCCTCAAACACAAATCCAAAATGACCGGTGATTGTTGCGTTTTGAAATTTCTCCGGCGTAGTTTGGAGGGGTCCCAAAACGGTCAATCTTGCAACTTGTTATTAATTCTTCGAAATTGCCTTTTACTGGAACTGCCATTAACATCAAACCATATGACACTATACACTGTACAAATACACCGTCTTCACCAAACTCAAGATCGTTTTGCACGTTTTAAAAACATGGGCAAACCAGAGATTTTAGAGCACTTTGTGCGAAATATACCTCAGCTGGAAAAAAACCACTCAAGTTTTATCGTTTTAATGTCAGTTTTAACCATGGTTATCGTTAAACAACATGTGGAAAATGGCAGAACTTACATGCTGTATAGGCTCATCATATTGGTGTATTAGCTAGCGATCAAACAGTGTTACTAGAAGAAATTAGATTTTTTCCTGCCAGTGACCCGAGATTTCACTACCGAATGCTTCAGTCGTCACCTTAAATTTCTGAAAACCATGTCTGAAAGTAATCAAGAAGGCAAAAATATTAGTTTCTGTAACCGTAATTAAATGTTTCAAACTTCAAAACTCTAAACCCTATATCTGAAACAAAAGAAAACTCAGCTTTGATTGGAAGTCTTACTGGTGTCCGGCAAGGGTATGTGGAAAGAAAAGTCTTGCGAAAGCAAAAATAGTAAATTTAGAATTTTGATGACGTCAAGTGAACACGATCTATTGGAAACTGTGATAGACATTGCAAACATCGCATAATTCCGCAATAAATTTAACTCATATTTACCCCATTATTAACCAGTCTATAGAAGGACTTGGAAGTAGTAAGTTTAGATGTAAAATATGAAATTAAATTTAATTTAGCATGTACATATACTGTTAGCTTACATTAACCCTTTAACCCCCAAGAGCGCTTATGAGCAGACTTGAAGAAAAAAGCTCATTTCATTCTCCGGCAAAAAAGTAAAAATCAGAATATAGTATCGCTCTGAGGTTACATCTATCGACAAAACTGTCAAACGCTTAAAATGTACTCGGCTTTTGAAAAGTAAAAGGTTTACATTTCTCTGAAACATAAAAACCAAGTCCCCAATATAAAGAATAATATAAGGGGCGAGTACGTCATAGCTAAGATGCAGCTGGAAAGTTAGACCAATAGTTACAACATCGCAGTGACCTCGATATAGGTTTGATGTAAAACATTTCTGTGGTTCACAAGTCTGAGAAACGTATTCAGCTAGCCGCGATCGGCAAATCTCGTCTCTTTTCCTCCGGGGCTATAGAATAAAGTCCTGGATTCCCCTTGTTGAATTGCGAAACGCAATTTGAAACAAATGAAATTTTGGGTTCCGAGGGCCCTGGCCATGTTTTTACTGCTAGATAGGAAATTCTTCCAGATTTTCTAAATCAGTTCAAGGATAAAGGAAAGGAAACTCGTAAGATTGTATTCTGGGATGAAGGAAGGATGTGTCTGAGGCATAGAATAAACCAGAACAGTTACCCCAATACTACACCCATAGTCCTAGGGAAATCATACAGACTGCTTCACCCTTTAACAGTGTCTTCGGAAACAATCAGGCCAGTGTCTCCAACAAAGCTGGGGATATCATGTTAAACTGCAGTTATACCTATTCAATTTAAGAAAACGTACTTTACACAATCTTTTATAAATAGATATATAACCAGGAAATTAATAAACAGTTTAACAAATGCAAAGTAAGCTGTGGCATTTCATTCCATTGGTAGTGTCCTAACCCAGTAGATATTAACGAAACTGAAGTATGTTCCAAACGGCTTCCTCCCACTTCCTAATAAGTTTCAGTTTCTTAGAATTAAACCACAATGCCCTAACAGGAACTAAGTAAGAAATTTATCTTACCCTTTTTTTCCCAGAAGCTGATGCAAGTCTTCTAGAAAGGAAATGAAAACAATGATATCCGGTTTGACTATTTTATCAGCGTTTCCAAGCATATTATTGGAGTTCAGTACTTGCTCAAAGATCTCCATGTCTTGGACAAATTACTGGTTTTCCATTGATGGCTTTCGATCCGGGTGAGGGAAATCCCATATAATAAGGGGGGGGGGGGGGGGTTGCTGGTACCAATTCTGAAAGAACACATTATCTCCTGTAAATTGTCTTTTTCGACTCAATACGTACCCTAAAAGGTACTGCAAGAGAGCTCCCGCAGTGGACTTTTTAGGCTGAGCACCCTAAAAGATACCAAAACCACTTTTTTTAAACCACTGAAAGGTACGACGAGTACCCCCGTACTCTTTCTATGGGAGTCTTCCCCCCGGGCAAGTATTTGTCCTGCTGGTGACACTAGGAAATATCAAAGAACTCTCAGAACAGCGTCAATTTCAAATCCACAAGTACGGTCCATCCGCCTGTCATGGAGACAACCTTATGTAAAGCTCCAATCGTGGACTGTATCAAAACGTTCTATTGTAATTCACATCAAGACAATCGATGTGGCTAATAATCTCAAATATCTGCTCGTTCTCCTGCTCGTCATCAGACACATCATTTTTCCGCCATTATTTGAAGACGTAAACAATTTGCCGGAAGTGTTGCAGAAACTGAATGCTTTGACCAAAATTGACTGAGAAGTTATAGTTGAGGCAAATACAACATCGAACTCTGTCCCGTCATTACTCAGTGCCTACAAAACAAATCTTCTAAAAACATTCGTGTTTTACTAAAAACCTATCTACGTTCATATTGATCCATGCTATTAATATTCCGCATTCTTTACTGCCTATGTAACAAAGAACTTAAAGGATTCCACGGCGAGCTAGAAAATTGCCAATCAGTTGAAATGTATATATTTTAAATTCATTTTGTTTTCTTTTCTTTCCTCTTTTATTGGAAATACCTTATTTTTAATAGCATTTACAACCGGAAACGCTTGCTCACGAGATCGAAGTCACACAATGCTATATTCACCAATGGGGGTAAATACAAGACGCGACTGACATACCTGAATATATACAGCTGATTATTCAATACCACCGAAGCAACAGCTTGTATCTGGCAAGGAGAAAAAGCCTTGAAAATACTTTACAAGTCAAATGTCTAAACAAAGAAGACAAGGTCTCCCTATGAGCAACGTATTTTCAAGTAAGTGCGCCAGTAGTGTCATTAACTGTGAAGGCCATTGGCGATTCATTGTCTCAACGTGCAGAACGGCTGAAGCGAATCAATCGACTTCCGTCCAAGGTTGTATTTATCAAGTGCTAGCATCGAGCTTGAATTCGCGCGGTTGTCTTAAATTCTCAGCTTCGATTGGTTTTAGTCGTCGTTGATAAACTAAACGACATTTCCCTCAGAAATCGGTCGTAATTGAACGACTGATCTAGTTAAGTATTATTATTCGTCTTTAGTAGAATAATTTCAATGATGTACCGGTTATCGCTTTATCGATACGAAGAGGAAATCAGATGTTACTCACAATAGTCTCCACGTGAAAACCACTGATTTATATTTCTCAGAAAACCCAAAAAAGTCTATTTTGGCGATATTTTTCCCACACGTACACACAACAACAGAAAATGAAAGACAAATTTGGTCTCTCCAATAAAATGTCAATTTTTTCAAAGGCTTGTGACTCAATTGCACGAGCCGCAACGATCGAGACTAAGACTATTCATCAACTCCGCCAGAAGCGGAAGGTAAAGAGCTCTACTTATTAAATTCCGTTGGGGTAAATTCACTTTCCTGTTATATCTGCCATTTCTCCTCGAATAAACAGTAAATAAATATATATATTACAGCTCATAATGAAAGGTCAGAAGGCGATCATCATCGAAGAGAATCCTGGATATTATCAAAGGGAGAATGAAATGTTTGTTTTTGGTCTAGAATACTGGGAACCGCAACATTTCCTTCCAACGATAAGTGAACAATCATTGAAGCGTATTAACATCTTATTATTTTGTATTATATTTTAAAAACATTTCAGCAATCATTGAATTCTTCTAACGACCGAATAAAACGAACCATTGCTAGTACCATTTCAACGATTTGAAAATGCGCCAATAGCGTTTAGATTGATATTGTTCTTCGAAAGCTAATTCTGTCAATTTTTTTTTTTCCCACGTTTCAAAAATGAAAAACAAATTAGGACACGCTTAACCGGATTGTGGTGTTCCGCTCACATGTCACAATATTTAACGTTGTCATGGCGCTAACAGACAGGTGCTTTGGTTAAAAAATATGACATCGTTAATTAATTGTCTCACACACGCAGCTACTCATGATAATGAGAAAAATAAGTTTGTACTCGTTTACACAAACGCATATGATAAAAATATTACGTCCGGACGAAGTTGAACCTGTACGTCACAATGTTGGCACACATGACCAGGGTCAAGCCCTGGCTAATGATTTATTGTAAACTTCACGCAAGTTTTCGTTTATTTTAATTTATTGTGATTATTTTGATATTATTTCTTCAACGCTGAAGAAAAAAAATCCTTACTTGGATGGGGAAATATAAACCGAATGTTTAAATCGATGCAATTTTTTTTTGAAATTAATTTCTGAATTTTACTTGCGTTGCGTGGTAATAAAACAGACCGGTAATTTGAAATACAAACAACTGTTTGGGGCCAAGGATCCTATTCCTTCTCGAGTTATTTATGAGTTTTCGTGCGCAGGATGTAGCGCCTGTTATGTTGGTGAAACCAGCAGACACTTCGCCACCCGCATCCGCAAACATCTTTACTCAGACAAGCATTCCCATAAATTCAAACATATAAGGGGCTCTGATAGTTGTCGCTCCCTTTGTTCGGAAGATTCCGATATTCTTGACTCGGCTTCACTGCACTAGCTTCCAATTACATATAGCCTTTTTCAAATTTCCAATTAAAACATCTTAATTTATTCCTTTTATACTAATTAGTCTGTTTCATTTTAGGGAAATAATTTTAACACCTTTCTTTCTGTTTCGCACCTTAATCAATAATTATTCGTATCACACAATGTTAAAGTATTTATTGCTCATTTAGTATTCTAGTACACCGACGATGGATGCTATTTCATCCGAAACATGTTTTGATGTTTAATATAGAATATGAACTTCAAATGTAATTGTATTGAAATTTACACATTGTCAACAAACAGAATTATGTTCTTAAATATTCTTAAAATTTTGCAAGCTTCAGCCTCGATAATCTTATAAAATATATTCCTGTAGAATAAAAAGATTAAAAGTATTGTCAATCGACGTTTCGATGCATGAAGCATCATTCTCAAGACTGAGGTTGTTACTCATTTTACGAGTTGAGTTTGAAATGGTTGCATTCCAGTATGCGTGGATTATGTAAATGTACTAATAATCAGAGAATAGACTGCACGTTAGATTGGAAAGCATATGAAACTACAACACTGAGCCGAAAAACCAAATTCTGTATTCATAATAGAACTAAACCATCACTCAACGTGCAATCTGACTCGATCCGCGCAAAGCTATTCTCTGATGATTAGTACCTACATTTACATAATCTACACATACTGGAATGCTACCCATTTCAAACTCAACTCGTCAATAACCAGCTTGACATCAGCATTAACGACCTCAGTCTTGAGGATGATCCTTTGATGCATTGAAACGTCGATTGACAATACTTTCAATCTTTCTTGTCAAATGTTTTAACAAGCAACTCATTATTCGATCTAATAAAAAGAGTGCATGTTTATTCCTTCCCTTCATCAGTTCCTTCGACCTTCCTTCTTATCTAACCTCCTTAATGTCTGCCTATTTGGTTATTCATCTTATTTTTCTCCAGGATATTTGAAAGAAAGTCAGACTGTGTCATGCTGTTAGTTATTTGCCTAGTTCTTCTCCAGAGTCAAACAAGCTGGGTCTCGGGGTCGACTTGTGCGTCACCAGAATCTATAGATCAATGTAAGTCAACGTGTCACAGCTACTAGGTTTATTTTCACATAAACTGTGTTCAGTTTACGTCCTAAGGCAGTCAATGATGTAGCTTTGTACCATTCCGTGTAGCCATCAATGTAGGGCTTTTAATTTGCCTATAACCACTGTGTGCAAAAGTATGGACCCTATCGGTTCCATCTCGTTAGCTAAAATATTTCCTCGCTTTAACTATTTCCCTAGCTTAACAAAATTGCAATGTATTGGAAATGGACATCGGAATGGTTTTAGCGCATAATGACTCATTTACAATGTTGGAAACATTTCAACACCGATATGTACAATAAACAAATGTAAGCGAATCTTAGTACCATAGTATCCGCAAAGTCGTCCGTAACCATTAACTACCGTCAATCACACCTCATGGCGTCGTGCATCTACTGAGGACTTAACAGAATTGCCGCAAGAATTCGATTCAGCGCCCTTCTTCCAATATTAACCCCCTTTTTCTAATAAGAGCTCCTCTTTGAGTGCGTTTTTTTTTTTAAATAAGTGTCCCTTAATTGCAATAAGCGCCCCTCAAACATTATGAACATTCATTATTGAACATTATGACTAAAAACCCCATTAACACCAACGAAACTAGTTTAATTAAATCAGGTTTAGATTTTTTTGCAGTCATTTTGCAGTCATTTTGCAATCATTTTGAGAAGAAAAATTTCGAACCACCTTGCTACCATATTTTAATTAAACAGGTTTTTACCAGGTCAAGTTGTGGGGTGTGCACGATAGGAGCAACTAATTGTTAACCTTTTCTAGTTAAACCACATTTAAACTTGTTTAACATGTTGGTGTGAACAGGGTACGGTATAAAAAAAGCCTTATAGACCTTTTTAGCTTGAGCGGTTTGTTGCCCCATTTTAGACCATGTAATGATAATCTTGAGAATTCTTGTGCTTTCAAATTCTTAGATAGTCGCGTGCAGATGAATGTATAATTTTTAGATGGATAACAGAACATTTCTGTAGAGAGTGCCACGTGGTATGTAATGGAAAAACAAACAACGCAAGATAAAAAGGTCTATTGTTACAGTTCTCGAGTGTGTGTTGTTTTTCATGTAAGTATTGTAGCAATTTCAGATGTTTATGAACAGGCGTATCATCCCTAATGCATGCCCCCTTTCAGATAAGCGACCTGCCTTCAGCTAGAAAGAGTAAATTACCACTCGGGGGCGCTAAATCGAATAATTGTGGTAACTTACCGCCTATAGGTCAGTGTGAACGCAAGCACTTAATTGCTACTATTAGGGTCAGCAGAAATCTGACAAACAGCCTGATCATATAAGCCTTTTTTTATTTTTTACAGCTCCATTTTCTCCTACTCTAGAAATCAATACCTTGGAATTCCCGAATGAACATGTCCAACCAACTGGCTACAACGTTACAATTGTTTGTACCAGTAATTTTTCCAAAGAGGACTTGGGGACGCATCAATATGGCCAGCCATTTTGGATACAGCAGTTTTTCAACGATGAATTAATAGGAGACTGTGGCGGTGGCGATGGTGATATTGATAGCGAAGATTCAAAAGTGTGTACGTATGTCATCCAAAACGCTACAGAGAGAGATTCCGGAAATTATAGATGCATATCACGTAATCAAATAGGTTGTACAGACGCTGAAGTTTACTTGGAATTTCGAGGTACACAAACAAATTTCTGTTTATTGTTAACGTAAATTAAGGCGTCAGTTAATTTTTCACTCTTATTTTATTTATCATATATTTTCTTCTAAATTCCTCTTTAATGTACTTGTCTGTGGATTCTTTTTTTGTTTTGTCTACATTAATGTTTAGAGTGTTTTTTCCTACCTTTCGGGTAACCTGCAGTGCAGTCGTACTTTGAGCGCGAGTGTGCATATTTTCGTACTAAGCAGCCATCTTGGATTTGGTAACAGGGTTGGGGCGAGGCAAAATTTGTCTAGGGAGTAGGCGTGAGGTGGAAAAAATGGGAGGGAGGGAGGGGAAGGAAAAATTCAAATGCCCCACCCGACAAAAACTCCCCGCCCTCCCCACCACCCCAACGCTCTACCGGTCAAGCATCCATTTACAATCCAAGATGGCGGCATCGAAGTCATGCTTTATGGAGCGTTTCATTCCAAAATAACCCCTGCACTGCAGGCTAGCTTTCGGATTTTAGATCAAAATGATAATAGGTCGGCAAGAGTGGATCCAAAATGTTGCTGGAGTGGGGCATTGTAGGTACAAGCGGCAGAAATGTCTGTGTCTTTAATATTGCCCCTGTTTAGGGTTTCATCTACAACCTAGCGGTGAAAGCAATTTGATCGATACTACGCTCATTTACATGACAACGGTCTGTTTCCACCTGTTACAATTTTATATTTAATCACAGAACCATCACCGCCACGTTTCAAAATGGACCTTCCACTTCAGTTAAACGCCTCTGTTGGACATAAGGCCTATGTGACTTGCAATGTCTCAGGTATTCCTCGACCAGTCATCACGTGGTTTAAGAATGGCTCTCACATGACACGTTCGTTGGTGAGGGAAATCAAGGGTTATTCAATGTTATTTTTTGACTTCGTCCAACGAAATGACCAGGGAACGTACTGGTGCGAGGCAAACAACACTGAAGGGTGGAACAGATCCTCTACTATGAATTTGGCAGGTATTTCAAAGTTGCAAGCCAATTTTTCTCAGCTGACTTATTTTTCTCTGTTGTTGTTTGTATATCTGATCATTGAGACAGCTGTTGTTGTTGTTGTTGTCGTTGTTTTTGTCATCGTTGTTGTCCTTGTTGTATTGTTGTTATTGTAGTTACCTGAAAAAGTAATCTTTAAATTGTTATCATTTAGAGTTATTGTTGTTGTTGTTTTTTGCAAATTTCGTGTCAACATAAATGTAACTGGACTGAATGCTCCAGATCATTCTGCAGGCTATGAGGGGCTAAAACATAGGTCTCCCTTCAGGCTGGTGACATTTATTGCGGTACCAAATTTAATGCCTCCCTGTGTCAACTGAGTGGTTTATCCATATCCAGTGGGGTAAAGATGGAGAAATTCGCTCTAATTTCGACGACATACAGTTTCAAACATAACGTAAAATGCCAAGTTCTGGAGGTACCTATAAGCAACTCTTTGCTGACCTCATTGTTTACAGTTTTCTTCATTAATATACGACTTTACGCATAGAAGGCATCACGCTAGACACGCATTGACTACAAACATTTCAAGAGTTTTTGAAACTTAGTAATTGGTGAAGTTTTGGGCTCTTTGGGTATAGTATTCGAGGAGAAATTGGCTTTCAACAACTGCAAAATATCTGGGTGGCAAAAGCGCTAATGATCTTATACATGTACATTCCTTGTAAAATTTTGGGTTTCTAAACAGGCGACGCACAAAAAGTACTCAATACATCGGGCTCAAATTCCTCGGGACAGTTAAACGTACTATGCCCTTTCAATATTCCGAAAACTCCATCAGAAACTGTACCGCTTATGCTAATGAGATAAATAGTGTAAACAAAGATTCTCCTATATAAAGCCCGTTTAAAAGATACTCTGCATGTCGCCTTATAAGAACTGGTGTAGAAACTAAACAGTTTCTCTAATGGTATTCAACGAGATACTGTAGCACTGAAAAAATATTTTAGATTATATTAAGGGAACAAGAAAAGTAAAGGAGAGCTTATATCCGTGGGGAGGGGGGGGGGGTGGCTGATGAATGGGGGCGTACTTACAGCCGGAATTTCACGGTATTTCCAACTGAGTTCAAATGTATCTCTCTTTCATATATCTAAATTTCAGTTTTTTGGAGACCTACCTTCTCAATCCACCCGAAGAGCGCTCGGGAATTCATTGATGATGGCATTGCCACGGTTACACTGTTTTGTGAAGCTAATGGTTCCCCACGTCCTGTAATTGGTTGGTTAAAAAACAACACGCCCGTCACCAGTGGCACCGTGTCTCAGAATGAAAGTATTTCCTCGCTCGTCATTGTTTTTAATGAAACTACAGAAAATCGGACAACATATCGCTGCATTGCAAGAAATTCACTGGGAAGCACCCTCTCCGAGGAAGCAACATTAACTGTTGCTAGAAGAGAAGCGAGAGGTAGGTTTCAACGCGTTAGGCAGTTCTTGATCTTCACACCAAACAACACAGGCACACACACATTTATTATAACAGTCAGGCGGAAATACCTTACGAACGTTACTGTGTTCACGTTGAAATACATATACGTAATACACCAAGGCCCCGTCCACATAACGCCGGAGGAATTTGAAAACGGAGGTTTATTTCTGCTGTTAGGCCTACCGTGCGCACTAATCCGTCACGAAAACGGAGCTTTTCTAAAACGCTCTTCAAACCGGAGGAATCTGAAAACGCTGGCTTTTCGCATTTGCGTCGAAGGAAAGCATTTTGAAAACGGAGCTTTTCAAAAACGATGGCGTTACGATAATTATGTAATTTCCCTGACCGAGGTTTCCTCAAACACAAATCCAAAATGACTGGCGATTGTTGCGTTTTCGAATTCCTCCGGCAATGTGTGGACGAGGCAACAATGTACAGAACAATACACCATTGCAGTAATCCGCCGTATTAAAAAAGATGGCGACCGGTACATTTACCCATAGTTTTTAGCGCACGAAAACCTTAACAACGTTCATAAAAACGTACAGAAGAGTTATGAAATCTTTAAACCTAGGCTACACAATGTTCTTAGTACAGGGACAATTATTGTAAAAATTTGGCTTTCCTTGTGCCCGATAGGCTGTGTTAGGTTCGCAAGGTATTGTGTTAAAATGTACAGCCGCCATCTTTTTTTCCTACGGTGGATTATTGCCGAGGCAAGGTGCTAAACAAAAGGAACCCTAATTAGCAAGCAGTCATCTTCTCTAGTCACTGTGGACTTTAAAGCGGCGCTCAGCCGCGCCCCGGCCTTAATTTCTGCGGGTTTTTCAGACCAGTCTCAAATTACTAATCTATCAACAAACGACGTAATATTTCAGGCAAAGCTTTTGTGAAAAATTGACATACTAACTGCCCAAAGCGCAATAAATTACGGAAAATAAAAAGTTAAGTGCAACTTAGTAAAAAAACATGAGAAGATGTCGACAGTCACTTACCCACACAAATATCCATTGCTTCTACAATACAGAGTAGTTTAACGTCAATGTGACAAAACAATATCGATTAACGTAATATCCATCTCCTTTGTCATAAATCCCGAGTACACTCGTACCTTAGTCCAAATGAAAAATCAGTCAGCCAGTTTCAAAGTGAAGCGATTCTTGATAGAAGTGTTCCAATAAATATCTTATGCAAAGAACTCACTAAAACATTTTTCCACGCTGTTTAATGTGGCTTCTTGTTGCATTTTGCGTTACAATTAACTGAATTCAACTTGCTCTTCAGGGTTCATGGGTCTAGCTTTTTACATTCATCCTAAAAGTATAACAGCGTCACTTGGTGAGACCGTGGCGTTTAGCTGCGCTGCTCGGGGTTACTTCCACCTTAATATAACGTGGTTAAAAGACGACATGCCGCTCACAAACACCAGTGCGAGGATGATTCACGAAAACACGCAAGAAAGTTCTGAGCTTCAGATAATCTCTGTAAGTGAAATGGACATCGGAAAGTACTCTTGCCTGGCAACTACTGGAAGCCTCCAGGCTCCATCCGGGAAAGCAGAGCTTACGTTGAAAGGTAAATAAATTGTAAAATAAGGTTGAAATTACCAACGGCAGTACAGCCTAATTCCCTCTATGAGCTGCATCTGCGGGTAGTTGCTCATAGGCGTACGGGTACCCTCGGGCTTGGCAGAGCGGTGACCTTCTTGCCCGAAAAAAATACGCAATGCCCAAATGCTGGAGTGTTGAAATCGAGGTGCAAACGCACTCAAATTGCATGAAAAACAAAACCGTTCACAATTCCCACATCTAATGAATTTGCCATAAGTCCAAAAATAGTTCTATTCAAAGCCTGCATACTCTATGACCTCTACCAACACTCTCAATCTACTTAAATCTAAAAGTTATTAAAAGAAAAAGTTCTAATAAAAGTAACTAACCAGAAACTTTTACGAGTTTTGGAAATCACGCCAACAACTAACCCTAACCCTAAGTTTTTTTTTTTTTTTTTTTTTTTCACGTGTGCTTGCCCGAATCATGAGGGTTTTGCCCGAAAAATCACATAATTTCCGTAGCTGGGGGGGCTGCAGCCCTCCTCGCCCACCCCCCAACCCCAGCTCGTACGCCTATGTACTTGCTTTCATCATCTTGAACTGGGTATTCGTTGCCCCTTGCAGGCACGTTTCATAGAGGGAATTAGCCATTGTACTGTAAAGAAAGTAATGCATTAACATAAATGCCAATGAAATTTCCTTCTGCAGATGGCACGCCCACCTCAGCTAATCTGTCTGAAATTACCTGGTCCTCTGTTGGCGTCGGCTTGCTTCTTATTCTCATTGCGGCCCTGGTTATTTTTAAGTGGCATAGAGGAAAGAAAAGGAAAAGCAACTACCAGGTTCATAACGAAGTAAGCAGAGATTTCACTGAGCTGTTTTGTTTTTTCCTTTGGTTTGCTTTTGTTTTTTATTTGTTTCTTTGTTTGTTTCTTTGTTTTTTCCTTCCTTTCTTCCTCTCTTCCTCTATTTCTGTTATTCTCTCTGTCAGGTATGTTAGTTTTCTTTGTTGTCCAGTTAAAGTTGGAATCATTTTAAGGGTATGAATTTTTAAAGAGAGGTGATGATTACGATGTGATTACGATGTGATTAAGATCTACAAAAAAAATATATTTATCCTTCTCGACTATCACGCAACTTGAAAGAAGCAATTCTTACATCCCATCATTTTAAATGGGGCACGAGATAACAAAGCTGAGCAGTTCTACTGATGGAAAATTTTCGCTAGAAGGGCATGCGCATCTAACTCCAGATACCCACTGCGTTGGCCTAAAAGCTGTTAGATGGCAATATGCCATTTTCGATTTGCTTTTTGCCTCCGTGTCAAAAATGTGTTGCGCTTACAGATTCAGTTTTACTCAAAACAAAATCGTTTTCATTAGAAAGGTCTTGCACCGGAATTCGTTTTGAAACGCAGACAAAAGGCAACTCGGAAATGGCCTACTTTGCGCAAAGGCTTTTGCCGCCATGATACTGCATTACAACTGCCAGATATGTAACTTGTGTATTAATTTTTGAACGCAGATCATCAGTAACCAGCAAGAATTTATCCAGCTAGAAATAAAAGATCTAGTGAGCAACGAAACAATCAATCAGCTAAGAAACAGCCGATCAACTGTACGTCAAAGCACTATAGACGGAGCACATTCCACCATAGAAGAAAACCAGGTCGTCGATCATGAAATGTATTTACACACCATGGCACGTGACAGAAATTGGGAAGTTCCTCGGGAGAGGTTGGTTATAACAGAAGAGACGCTTGGCGGAGGAGAATTTGGAATTGTAAATAAAGGAATATACTTAAGAAAAGATGGAAGTGAACTCCCTGTCGCGGTGAAAGGACTTAAAGGTTAGTTTCGTCCATTACTTAATTTGAGTATGAGAACGGAGGAATCATGCAGATTTTATGGTCACGATATGTCGCCAGCACAATGCAATGCCGGCAATGCTTTCCCTTCAAATTTGTACCATAATTATGAAACAGAAGGCCACCTTTTTTATTGGTACCGTGGGTCCTGTCCAAGTACAGTAGTTTTTACGGCAATTTTAAGTTAACGTTAATTGTCTTTTCGTCTCGTCTTTACCAACAACTTGGTTTGAACAGATGCGGCAGACCAACAGCAGCGACTTGCACTAATCAGAGAGCTAGAGACACTCATTCACGTCGGCCGCCATCCAAACATCGTGAGCTTGGTGGGAGCTTGCACATTCGAAGGTATTGTACTGCGATCTCTCAAATATGCAGTTAGGCGGCATAAATGTACATCACCAGTTAAACTAGGACATAAGCTTTGCTTATTCAATGGTAGGGGATTTATTAAGAACACAAACCACATCTCAGATATTCGCGCTAAAAGACTCTTGTGCGATTCTTTTCTTGATCGCGATACTCCTCGAAGTCGAAGTCGAAGTCGAAGTCGAGGTCTGTCGAAGTTTACTAAACGACTTTTCTTTATTCCCCAAGCCAGAGTTTTGAGCCTTGTCCATACATTTGTTGACACAAATTCTCTTAAAAAAATATCCGGCTTACCCAATACCACGAGTTTGCGGGACATTTCAGGTTTTAATGATCCTTACAAAGGTATCATTTTCATCACCTTTAGAACCCTTGTGCGTCATCATTGAGTTTGTTTCTGGTGGAAGTCTTGATAAATTACTTCGAAGTAGTCGTGTTCAGAATGACAATCACGATACATCTTACACCAATATATGGTCAAGACTGACAGAGAGGGAACTGTTAAAGATGGCGTCAGACGTTGCGAATGGTATGAGGCACTTGGAAAGTAAACAGGTAACTTTATTATTATTGGTTTTTTTTTTGGTTGTTTGTTTGCTTGTTTGGTTGTTGTTGTTGTTGTTGTTGTTTCTTCTTCATTTTCTGGTACACAAAAGGTTAAGCTACATGAGGTTTTAACTTTGTGGGATTTCTGAGAACAAACATTAATTCTCCCATGATGGTGACTGAACATTCGTCAAATAGCTTGCATCACACAAACGCAAATTGAATGCTTTCAATACATTCGCGTTTTGGTGTTTAAAGTAATGGACAATGAATTGAATTGTCAATCGAAGTAGTGACGAATTTCCTGTCTTTTTACACAAAGTGTATTCATAGAGACCTGGCTTGTAGAAATGTTTTGGTGGGAAGTGGCCTGGTTGCCAAGGTGGCTGATTTTGGAATGGCGCGTGATATATCTTCTGATGGAAAGTACCTCAAAACAAGCGAGGTACGTTTTTTCTTCTCTTTCCTAGACTACAGGAGACATCATTTAATAGCATGAGTAGCGCATTCATTGCGCCCTTCTACACAAGCAGGAGCGGAGTTTTTTGTTGTTGTTGTTGTTGTTATTTCAGTTTAAGCTCTCCAACATGAAATAAGGTTTTGCTCTTTCTATTACTTTTATCTTTATTTGGCGGCTAAAGTATGAAACGTTAGCTCTAAACGGTTGTTTAATGCTCATTATAGCTAATGCGTTATATGGTGAAACTTCCATATGACAAGAGATCCATTTGCTAAAATAATATATATTCTACCTGGTCAATAAGGGACGAATTCCATGGCTCTGGATGTCAATGGAGGCCTTGAGAGGAACTTGCACAATCAAAGGAGATGTGTAAGTAGTAAACATCAACCATAAGTGGTATTTTTTTAGATGCAATTGATATTCGTATGCAGGAAGAATTTTAAAATTTAAAGTATTTTATAGTTCAAAATAACTACAGATTTAAAACATCTAAGATGAGTTTAGATCCATACTTGCCATTAGTGGTATTTTTTCATCCTTTACCTAACACCCCAAAGCTTTGACTAATTATACGACCTAGCAAGGTTCGCTGGCAAGCTAGCTATTATAAGGTAGGGTGTGCCTGTTACCATTTCGGTTCACAAACTATGATAAAGTTATCCTGTCTCACCAAAGTTATAATAATATTATTCCATGCAATTTCAACAAGCTCTGTCAACTTTCTCTTTATTCATTTCTTGTAGCAAATGAACTTTTAGTAACTGTTTCCTCCTTGTCCATGTAGTTAAGCATTGAATTTGATTTCCTTTATCGCGTGGACTTAGTTCCTCGACAATACGATGGAAAGGAATTTTCTGTTGATTGCCGTTCGGGAGTGAGAAAAAGTAGAAAAGCTTCTGCATTACTCCTGCATTATTTTCTACCTTTTTCTGATTTAAAGTGTGAAGGTGAACAATTTGAAAGTGTTCTGTACTTTTATGTTAAGTATATAAAATATAAAACGATTCATGCATACTTGTCTTGGCAGGTGGTCATTTGGAGTTGTTCTTTGGGAGATAGTCACTCTTGGTAAGTAAACAGATACATATTTTCAATCATTTAACCATCCGAAGTATTAACGGTGCAAGGACGAACAAACATGTACTGATTTTTGGTTCAGATGCACCACTTAGAAACATGTTGTCCATAAGCCTCGTTATATGTCTACCAAAGTAGGAGCTAGAAGAATCGATGTCTATTCTAATCTTAGAGTTTCGCAAAAGTCGGATGGCTGACTCTTATCCCCGCTCCTGTGACAGAAGCGACTATTTAAGAGTATTCTACACCCTCTGAATGTGATGCTAGTGTGTTCCAGACTTACACTCCTACGCATTGTTGGTTCGATAGTTTTATGTTTCTGATTGGACAGGCACAAAGTAAAAAAGGTTTACTATCTAGGGTCACGGGAGCATACAAGGAACCAACGGGGCTAGAGCTGGCCCAGTTTCCCTAATATGACTCGCAATATTGTCTTAGTACGGACATCTTCTGGCTCTGATCTGTGTAACTTCTTCGGCCAATTGTACTACATAATTTTGCTAAATAGTTGTTTCATAATAAAAATTCCTTTGATGAAAGTGAAGAATGATCATCGCAGTTAATTTTCCAATTTAAGCAATTGGAAAGAAGAAGCCTGAAAAAAATCAGGGCTTCAACGGGATTCGAACCCGTGACCTCCGCGATACCGGTGCGATGCTCTACCAACTGAGCTATGAAGCTACACATTGGGAGCAAAGTCAATTAATCGAGTTCATATCTTCCCGTCAGGGAAGTTCACATATATGAATTATTTCATATAAACTTCACAACAATTCCTTTGACATAATTATCAATAGGTAAACTGCCATACAAGGATGTGAATAGCGTGATTGAACTTCATGAATGGCTGCTGGATGGTGTTAGATTGCAGAAACCACCTCATTGTTCTGATGAGCTGTAAGTATAATTGATGAATGTTTTAAAACTGTTGTGACCGGAAGCACCCTGAGCATCAGACTGAGAAAATAAGATAGGTTTGCCAGGACGTTCAGAAATAAGTGCGTTGAAAAACTAAAATATTTACCTTAACCGGTCCAAGTCTATCAGTTTCGAACAGATCGAGTATTTGTAACAGGCGAATCCGTCGTTTAGACGCTAGGTAACTCTATTTAAAGCATTAGTATAACCGCTGAGAAATAACACACATCACACTGTTCAAAAATCAACCGACGACAACGTTTTGAAACGTTTCCTTGCAGAAACTCTGCTCGGCCAGTTCGTGTCTAGTCCCCTACAGTTTATCTGTTACACACTATTAGAGACTCACAGTTATCTCCACCCAAATATGAATTAGAACCAAGCAATCTATAACGCCATTTCTTTCCTTGTTTGTCTAGTTATAACATCATGTTACGATGTTGGGAGAGGTCTCCTGATGATCGACCATCCTTTGATGAACTTTATGTACATCTTCAGGGCATCCTACACGAGGAAACGGTGAGAACGTTTGACTCCTCTAAATGCTATTTTGATAGTTTCGGACACATCCTGTCCAACATCATTGCAAACGCGTTGGCACAGAATGATACAACTTGTTACCCTTGCCATAAGGCACTGTTGACTCTACACACTGTTTACTAGCTTTTCTAACACGAGAGAAAAACTAGCGTTATTTACTGTTGTATATGATTTGTTTCATGAATTCTGGTGGGGCTCGCAATTCACTGTTTTTTTCTTCGCTTTTCTTTTCGGTAAGGATTACTACGCATATGGCATGCATGAAGATTCCACATTCGTGAAGCTAATGTAAAAAAGAAAGGTTCGAATGTTGGTTAATTGATCGACCTAAGAGTGTTTACCCTGTGAGCTAGGCTAAGTTGTGAGACTGAACTAGGTTAAGCTAGACTATATATATTAGGCTAAACGAGGCTAAGCTGAGCTGGTAGACTATTGAGAGTTCAAAGGGTAACAATTCGGAAAACATATTGGTTAGATCGTACTTTAATTCATAAATTATGAGAATGTTAGGTAAAAACCTAAGGTATTTCTTATTTTTAACTTGATGTGGAAAAGTTTTCAATTGAGTGTCGTCAAGATAAAATCAACGAAATTATGATGGCAATCCAAACAGGAATATACACCGTGCTAACTCTGATTTTTTTTCTGTTTTTTAGAGAATGTACATCAATGTGAGGAACATCGAGGAACAAAAGATGGAGGGTTATCGCAAGACAGACATTTCGTTATAAATGACACACTTACTACTTGCTGGGGATATTGCCAATGACATAACACTCCGCAAAAGATTGGCTGGGAATTCCAAACTCTTCACTTCAACTCCAAAAAGGAGAACCGTTTGTTCGATCCCTATTGAAAGTCATTCCATCTTCATCATGTTGCAATGAAAAGATAATTGACATCTCTAAAAGTATTTGCTCAATAATAATCAAATTATATATGGTGTGAAGCGTGTAAACTTATTTACTCTAGTGATAACCAATCAAGTGGCAATCATGACGTCATAGAGTACAAAATGACATCAAACTCCAGGATGTTCGCAGTCTTAAATCCGTCATCCTGGATTTCAATTTCTTTCTTTTTTTCAAACAAGTCAAACAAGCTTCAAAATTGATTTTGAAACTTAGAAAAATATAGGAATACATGAAATTTAAAAAAAGATTAGGAAATACAAACTAAACCGTAAAAAGCAACAAATTTGGCTAAAACACCCTTTGAAAACACGCCGGGTTGTTATAAAAAACGTCGAGTCACGAGTCGAAATTAAACAATTGATACACCCAAATGTTTCTGATAATTCTCAGGAAAAGTCACAAAGTTTTACCACTTAAGTTTAAAGGCAGTTTTTGTAAAAAGAGAAAAAGGATTGATGTCACAAAGTGCAGGGAAATGGTGTGAATTTCCTATCATTTTACGCTAATCCCCATAATGGCCGCTTGCTTGTTTGTTGTTGATTTTTCTGTCAAAGTTTTTTTTTTTTTTGTCGTTTGTTTGTCAAACGAACAATAAATAAATATATTATTAGATGTTTTGGTGTGTAGTATCGCTGTATATTTTTACGAGTTGTGCCGTATTTTGACGAGCCCGTAAGGGGAGTCAAAATAAAAACAACGAGTTAAACTATACAGCGATACTACACACCAAAACATCTAATAAGAGATTTATTATCCAACTGCTGTAGTCAATAAATTTATCAGTGAAAGAGGGAGAGTGTGACAGTTTTGTGTGCGCGCGCCGACCTGCCCGGCAAACAGGTTTTCTACTGTGCAAATTACTGTACAATATCGCTGTATATGTGTACTGTTATTTGGACGGTATTCGCTGCAGTTGGATGATAATGACGTATAATTATATGAGGCACGAACAAAATGGATCTGTGTCAGTCAAGAAAAGGCTTATCACCGAGCATTTTTAGTTTGCTGCCAACATGAACAGAAGAACATTTTCAACTTGAACGTTTTATTCCTTCTTAAGCTTGTCTGCTAATGACAACACAGCATAACACCGCCTTTGTAAAGTATGGATGTAAATAAATTAAAAACTAAACAAGAAATTACAACTTCCGTGATTTCAAGTCACTTTTTGCCTTTGCCCTTTTTGGCAGCTTTCTTCGATTTACCTCTCAAAAGTATTCTGAACTGGTACCCTCTCCAAGCTGCTTGTATGGCAGCAGCAGCTTTGTTTTGTTTCCTCTCCTCTTCCTGCTTTCTAGCATTTTCCTCTTCCGCAAGTCGCCGTTCCTCCATGATGGCGTCATATTGTTTCTCTAAGACTTCAAAGTGGGCTTGAAGTTTGGCGAGCTCTTTCTTGTCCGCTTCGTACATTCGCGTGTAAAGATCATACTCGTCCTGAACAAATAAGCAAAAATAATATTTAAAATAGCAAGACCTCTTAGCTATAGAATGCAGTTGAACTATTTAAGCGTTAATGGCTAACGTACTGAGAAGACATTTTGGTAATATGTCATCTCTTCTGAACATCGATGAATTAAGAGGTTACTATGAACTCAAGCTCTGTACGCTCCAATAGTTGGCGAGGCGAACTGAGCTTCCCCGACCCTTGGAAATCAAACGGGATCACACCGCTCTGTCCGAATTCGTAATGGTATGCTTATAGAATCGACAAATGTCATCTTTACAGGTTATATATTACTCAACTGTACAAGCCTAAAAGTAGATTGCATAGACACCGCTATGAGACAGCGCCTCGCCAAGCCTTCCCATCCCATCCCCCCGCCTCCCGCGCCCAACCCCAAGCTTCGGTTAGGTGGCCCAGCATCACCTCAGTTTTTATAAAGTAATCAAAAAACAGTCAACAAGGAGCTTTTTTCAGTACAAATAGAGTTTCGTTTCCAGAATGATTAGGTGTTGGAAGAACTGGAGAAACCTGGAAAGAACATGCTGCACGGACCAGGGGTGGGCTGGGTATCAACTATTACATTTATACTTAAATTGAAACACTTACTCCTTTTTGCAGGTTTGTTTTACAATATCATCATAACAATAAACAAGCATTTCAAGCGTTATTCACTATTTCACCATGCTGCATTTTGTTGCGACGCACTTGATTTTGGCGGATATTTTGCCACCTTGTTTACATCACAACATAACACGGAGAGGAATGTCTGCATTTTTCAACACTACATTCTTTGAGTCCAGCTTGCAACCACTTCAGTCGACAAAACTTCTAATTTGTGTTATATTTCGATTCCCTTTTGTCGGTGTAGGCGACAATCATTTTAGCTATTAACACAAAAAGAAAAACATGTCTTCGCCAGTGTGTTGGCCTGGCTACAACATGCTTATATCGCCAATTTCGAACTTTACTCCGATTGGACGCTATCGGCACAATGTAAATAATTCCCCCCTGAGGCCGACACCATTCCGTTGGTTGCTTGTGTGATGGTTTTCTCACCTGCCTGCCATCTAAGTCCGCGTCATATTTCTGAACCCAGTTGTAAACCTCAGTGGCCATCTTATATCTCCGCTGGTGGACAAAGGGAGAATACGTGTCTTCATTTAAAGTGTTTATGTCACTATTTTTTTTCCGCTGATTCTGGTCGTTAATAATGTTAGAAAAACGGTTGTAAAGTTTTTAATTCGTGAGAATACTTTGAAACCCCTTTTTTTCGTTCAAAATACGCGCTACGTTCATGTTGAAATTGTCCCAGAGATCGCGCGGCCAAAATGTCATATGATTTACGTCTGTGACGTCAATGTGTTTGATAAACAAACCAATATGGCTGAAAGCGAAGGGAAACGTTTGAAACATGAGACGGGTCGAAAATTAGCGTTACTAGCAAGCAAATCACTGCCCCTTTGAAGCCGTGTGCAAGAGAAATGACAAGGCGGCTTCCCGCGACAGCAATGTTATCAAACACTGTGACGTCACAAACACAATTCTCGTCCCCAGTTTCCCGGGACACTTTATAGGGAAATTGGCTGTATTTCGGCCGCAAAAAAATCATCCATATTGATACTTTTGGACGAGAACGCTTGCTGCACCACTCTTTCCAAACGGTGATGCAGTAAGTGCTCTCACCCAAACGCACTCCAATCCCTTCTCGACTTCAGTAACTCTTGTCGCGTAACCCTTCCTACTTTTGACACTGCGTGCAGCGTTAAGCCCAGAACTTTACTTTGGTTTCAACTAAAGGTTGACTGATCAAATACAAACTAAATACAAAATTACAGAGTGATGAAGAAATGTTTCCACCTTAACATGGCTTTGGCATTGAAATTTAGGCATACGCTAATATATATATATTTTTTTAATTCATGACACCAAGCCTTTAAGGTGGCTGTCAACAGTGTCCAGTTCTTAAACATTGATGAATTATCGATATTATATTTCTTTCTCAGTTGATCTTATAATAATTTTTGTGAAATTAAAAGTTGCTAAAGCGACAATTTTTAAAGCTTTTACCGCCTTTCAAGAACATGCGGACTCTAAAATTCAAAGCTCAACCGACAAATGCGTCTTTCGTTGCCGTCAATCAAATGTTCGGCGGCTCCTCCTAGCTTCCGATCATGTTTTCTGAACTGTGCTCAAAGATTCGATTTGATTACTGAGCGCTCGGTAGTAGTCGGAAGCGGGGAGGAGCCGCCGAACATTTGATTGACGGCTGCGAAAAACGCATTTGTCGGTTGAGCTTTGAATTTTAGAGTCCGCATGTTATTGAAAGGCGCAGTAAAAACACGCCTATATTTAAGTAGTAACCCTAAGACGAGTTCTGTGACCTCTGTTTTCTTATTATCATATTGTTGTCAGCATGTCAAGATGCAACTTTTTACGAAGTGTAGAGGAATTTGCTTAATTTGCGATAAATGCCAAACTGTTTAGTATTGCACCTCATAACTAACGATATAAAAATATAAGCATTAGGAGCAGATAATCTCAATTCTCGCTAAAGGTTAATCTGGAACCAATAACAACACCATTAGACCTAACCTTTCTAAGCTGAGTCTCATTTTCTCTATTCTGTTTTCGGTCGTCGATGATCTTCTTTTTACACTGGAAAATATCGTCATAATATCTGGTGACTTTAGCCTTGGATGCTTTGCTTTCGTTCGAGGTTTGTCTGTAGGCTTCAGTCAACGTTCGCCGCTGTTGTTCATGGTTGATTTTCTGTATCAGCTGCAGTTCGTTCTTGAGTCGATTTATCATTGCATCTCGTTCGGCGATCTAGAGCAGAACATCAAGTAAGTGTTGATTAATCCAATTAAAACATACATGTTGGTGAGTTCCGTATTGGTGAAATATTGGTCAATATTCCATTTGGAAGCTTAGGAAAGGAACCTCAGGCAAGATCCGTAAACCTGAGAAAAAAGAAAGACCCAGCCATACCAGTATTCCCAACGAGCTAGCTCTAGTGAACAAACGGCTCCAAATAAGCGTTAACGCTCAAAACATCAGCCTCACAAATTGGCAACGGTGGTTAATTTATTTAATTTCAAGTTGATAAATGGCTAGGTGTTTTACTTTTCCCCAGACGCAGTCAATAACTTTTGTAGCTTTTTTTTTTTTATAATGGCAGCTTCAAAACTCTGCTGAACAATTAATGAATCCACTCTTAACACTGTGGTTAACGTCCACACTAAAGTTAACCATACATTTGCGTTCTACGCTCGTTTCTACTGATCTGTGAAAGTGTGGTTTAAACTGTCTCCCAGACAAGAAGGAAAAGGATTTGTATTTTATCACAAGAAATTAGTACAATGTTTTGAAAAAGCAATGCACCAATACCCCATCTTATTGTTGCACGTTGCAAAGTTCGGACCGCTCCGGTGACCAATCAGAATTGTCTTTTTCACCGTGAACCAATTCACCGCGTGATAAAAATCATAACCCCCAACTTTTGGGATTATCCTTGTTTATGGAGAATTAATAAGGGAACAATCAGCCTCATCAGAAGCATATCATGCTTCTGGCCGCATAATGTAATTTGTGATAATCGGTATTGCCATAAATTAATATTTTGCCGACACGAAACAGAGAACTGGGTGGGAGAGTAGTACGCGAAGGCTCATGGGTAATACGTTTGTAAAAAGAGACGGTTGAGAAATTTGTGACATTCTACGTTCAGCCTTGCCACTAGCACTTTCCCATAAGGTTTGTTTTTATTGTGTAATTAGCGTCATATCATTTGTTTTTTCATTCTGTTGTTTATAGGTCAACCTTAAAACCNGTTCCCATAAGGTTTATTTTTATTGCGTAATTAGCGTCATATCATTTGTTTTTTCATTCTGTTGTTTATAGGTCAACCTTAAAACCCCAAAGGTGGCGCCACTGCATTTGGTCGGGGGTAAACGGTCCCTATTTTTCCTAACAAGAGGTTTTTGGGGTTTACGTGTGTGGCTTTGGCGCATGTAAGACGTTACTTGATGTATCTCTTATCCACTTTGTTGTAAGCTTATTGTCGCAAATAAAACATATCTTGGGCCTGGCTGACCAACGCGCCCATACCTCAACCTTTGAGTGTGTTCGGTGTGTGGTGAAGGCAAAATTTATGGAGTACATGATTTTGTCATGTGTTTACTCTTTCCTCTCTGATATTTAGTATTCTTTTTATCCTAAAATAAATGTATTTAATTAAAGGGCGTATAAATAGTTTACAATATTTTGCCCTTTCCACTAGTTCACTGCCCTTATCTGTTAACAATATTGTATACATGCCGCGTCAAGTGGAGAAATAAAAAATACAAAAACATAATTTTATGAGACTTACGGTGCGGTTTCTTTACAGCCAGTGGTAACGGGCGGCATTGGAAAAGAACAAGGATCAAGAAGTAGGGAGAACTCGTTTGCTAATTGGTGCTAAATCTTTACCTCAGACTCTTTCGCCTTTACGGCTGCATTGTATTTTATTTCAAGTTTCTCTCTCGTAGCATTTGTCTTCATCTCTCTGTTGATTACATCCGTCAAATACAATTTCTTTTCCTGCTCTTCAAAAGGTGTCATCAGCAGCTTTTCCTTCATGATATTTTCAAGTGACGTCAGGGTCTCCATTAATAGCGTGTGGCTCTGGCTGCACAACATTTTACTACCTGTGAACAATGCTTAACGATCAATTCAACGGTGATCTCAATAGTGATAGAAATAGGTCCGCAATGTGTTCATGTGAACAGCCTAACCGCTCACCCTAGTTGTAAATTTTATAGGACGGGTTCTGATCTGTTCACGGACCTTCTATTTAATACTAAATTAGATTATGAGCTTAAGATTTCTATGAGATGAAAGCTGATGAACCCGAAGGACGAACTAACAGTAGCTGAAACAGGAATAGTATAAATTGATAACTTCCGTAAGGTGTGAGAGTTTTAGCATATTGATTGATTGACTGACTGACTGACTGACTGACTGATTGATTGATTGATTGATTGATTGATTGATTGATTGATTGATTGATACCTACACTCCAGTAACAAAAATATCTCATCTCATCAGCTACCACAAAAAATGGCAAGTGTTCCCCCAACTAACCGATTGCCTACATTTTAATGGATTGCTTTGCAGCGGAAATAACTCCGTATAATGCAATGAATCAGTTAATCTTTGAAAGTTTTCCTGATTTTGCTGACTTTCACAAATAGTGTGCTAAACCCTGAAGAAAAATTCATATTTCTTGTTTTTAAGTTTTGTTTGGGATATATTTATCAAGGCGTATTAATCTTTTTAGTTATAAGCTGAGGCAATAAGTCTCAAAAACTCAAATTAACAAATACATTTACAATACAGCAGCATCTCATTTACCATACCGTAACTACTAATAAAATTTAGGATAAACGTAAATAATTGGAAGCCCACATGAGCACACTTTGAGATTCCCTGTTTCTCTAAATACCTCATATTTTCACTTTCTACTTTCCATCACTGACCAATACGCTAAGTTAACTTCTGAGTTGAGAGTGAAGGGTTATTTTTGAGAACCATTACAGGCGATTTATTAGTACTTATTCTTGGTGTCTTTCATTTTTTTTGTTTGTTTGTTTGTTTTTTTTGTTTCATGACAATTCAGTTTTATCCTAATTACAAGCATAAACTTGTAAGCACACATGTACGCAATGCGGACTTATTTTTTATTATTATTCTCTTCTTCTCATCCTTACTTGCTCACCTGTGATAGTTTCAATTGCTTTTGGATTTTTCCGGAAAAAACGTAACATCTCCTTTAATGAGCATTTGATTCCTTTCCTTAAGAATTCTTCTTCTTGTTTGAGAACATTTTTCGATTGAAGCATTCCTGGAGAGGAAATCTTTATTATGGGAAGTTCAATAAGTCCCTCATTGTCGGTTGGATTCATTTTCTCTGGCCCTGTCCCCTGTGCTTTATCCCGCTCCGAAATTCTGTGCAACTCGGCGAGGACGTCCTTGTACGCGTTTTGCAACCGCAAATGGCTTCTCAAATGCGCTGAGAGTTCCTGCCCAAAAATTACAGAGAAACGTGGCAGGGATTCCAAGATACAAGGCAACGTCGTGGTGATTTCCATCCGTTTAACGGTGTCTTGAAACACGGTCAAAATTCGCTCAGCTTCGAGCGATTGAAGAGTTTTCCGTTTCGGCTCCAGTATCTTACACGGATCCATTACACTCTTGCGGCCAGGGAGTGGATGAGGAGAGTGTTTACCTTTCAACCATGCATCTGAATGCCTCGGGCTGTCTATAGGAGCCATTTTGTTTGTTTGTATTTCTTTTTTCAGTTTCTTGCAAATTTAAAATGACAAAACAACGAGACGTTTATGACGAATTTAAATGACGTACCACAGCAATTACTGCGCGCGTTATCTGTACACGCGTACAGCTAAGACGCGCGCGCATTCTATTCAGAAGAGTAATTACAATCAGTAGAAATGAGCAAAAACCTCATAATTTCATTTTCACGCAGAAAACATATGTGACTTGAGTAAATTTGGCTTTCCAAGGGGTGGCAGAGAGAAATGGCCTTATATCTTCAGCCGTTTAAGGTGACTCAAAACAGTTTCCAGTAGTTAGTTTTTTGTTGGGTCATTATAAGCACCGTTTATTACTTGATGCAACAATCATGGTATCACAATACTGCCCAATCATTTATTGAACACGTTGTTATAATTTTTAGGACCCAATAGGTTACCATAGGAACAGTATGACCTGCTAAAAACACCCTTAAATACAGCTTTAGGGGCTTATAATTCAAAAAAGGGACAGAGAAATTGTTTTTATTTTATCGAATTTTAATAAGCATGATAGGACGCAACTTTCGGCAAAGTTTAAAAGTATATAGGGTTCGGAGCCACCATAAATTTTCAAAACAGCTCTTATTACGTCACAAAAATGATGACAACGTGTTGACCAATGACTGGGCGTTATTTTGATTCCGTGATGGTAGCAACAAATGTTAAAGAGCGGTTAGAGTGACCCAAAAATCCAAGTGCTGGAAACTGTTTTGAACCACCTTAAAAAAGTCTAGCTGCATGCCTTCGGCCGCTGCTCGATCAACTCACCTACGGCGGCTGTTTCTACAAGTTTTCAGTGCCAATAAAAGGGTAAAGCATGGGTAACAACAAAAACTTTAATTATCAGATCACTGATTAACTGTAATTGTGTAAAGTGTGTATATCTGTGGGTTTCAGAGGGGAAAAAACGTACTGCGCAGCTTTCGGCGCATCCCTAGCTCTACTTGCGGGCTCAGGAAATAATGCAGGTTGCAATGGTGGAAAAAAACAGTGGACTGCTATAATAAGGTACGCGAGGATGTCGTTCGGTTGATTTATTTATACTTGGGCAAGCATGAATTTTTTTCTTTAGCATTTCATTGTTAAGATAACAAGGCTCCCCTACCTGCTGAGAGGCTCTCTTGCTTGCTTCAGTGCTTTGCTTATATGAATTTACTATGTCAAGAGTATCTGTCGAAAAAAGTATCATCGCACCGCAATTTCTTGTGCACCGCGGGAAAATAAAGGGTTCGATCGGAATCCTTTTTCAGGTTAATTTAGTCCGAAATTCTCCACGAAAACAATACCCCAGCTTTATATTAGTGACGTTGAAATACAGCTGCTTACCGGGAAAATTGGAAACGCATATAAAGTTCGTGCATTTTTTTTGTTGTTGTTGTTTTTGTTTACACGATCGACGAAATTCCCGCCATTTTCTTCAAAGTTGGAGCCTTGCGCCCAGCCAAAACTCGCGTATGCTCAATACGCTTTTCGGCTCTGAATGTGTGGGTATTATTTAATTATTTCTCTCAGTCACAAAGATAACAATAGTTAGAGCGTCTAGATGAGGTTGCGGTATTATCAGTTATCAGTTAAAGCGACGGCGATTTTGCAGTTCTCAATTATCGGTTTAAAAAAGAAACATCATCATCCCTTTGTTTTGCTTGTTTTATTGATGTTTTTGTTGTCGTTGCTTTTTGTCGGGGGGGGGGGAGTACTTGGGTATTGAGATCGTGTATTAGTAATGCAAATTTAACGTCTACAGAAGCCCCAACTGATCGTAATCGCGTGAGTTCATTTAGCTTACAAAAAATTTGGTTTATGCATACATACTAAAGATAATTCGAAGGCCCAAAATTTTCTCACAGATATTCGATGCTTTACGGTTGATCAATCATGTAAGTGCTCTCATGAAATTTTAAGTGTTGTCAAGTTACGCTGCGTGTAAATTATTAAGTTAATAAAAGCAAATTCGTGTAATATTTGTGGCGAAGCTAATTGATGCCAAGTGATATTATTGTATTGTTTTGATTTTGCAGCAGCATTAGTAACTTAACTCTATCATTCAGTATGCACTGTAAATTTGCAGTACTTTTTTTCTGCTTTACGTTACGACGACTTTCTTGAGGTTCATGAAGTATTTACTTCTACCTCCACCTTTCTAGTTTCCAGACTCCACACAGGCTCGACGGCTTTATTTCGTGCTTCGTGTTTCCTCTGCATATTAGTGTGCTACATGTAAACAAAACACATTTATTTTTCCTTCGAGCAAACAGAAACATGCAAATCCAGCAGCAACTACAGTGCATCCAGGCATTTCTGTTTTAAGTACTATTTACAAACACCTTTTGTTATTCAAATTTCCCAGCAATGTGCAAAAGAACTCTTTGTTTCATGTTCAGCGGCCAATAGTTCTCTGTTTAGCAAATTAATAACAATAGGTGACGTCACCGTTATCTTTGTTATAGTTGTTGAACATTTTGTATGCTACTACATAACTGCCATACAAGTCTTGACCACGAAGCTTCACAGTTTTCAAGAGTCGCCATGAATTACATTTTCTTGTTGGTCCCTGCCCTGATGCTTGGCTCTTTTCATGGTGGTAAGCAAATTTAATATAATCCCATCACCTGTGTTGAAAAATTTAATACAAACCCCTAATGCAAATAGCACACCCTCGAGGTGTGGAAAAGGCAACAGAGCTTGTAAGAATCACGTTATCCGCAAGATCACGGTTTGAGAACCGTTTTCTTTTGTGCAACTTTCCTTCTTCTGAATCAGCACCGATTAACTCCAAACACGTTGCCAACTGATTGTAAATAATGGAAAACTAACTGAGACGGTGTAGAAAATTCGATACCCTAGCCTGTTGAATAGATCAGCTTTTTCTAAAAGCATGTCAACCCCAAAATAAGTTGTTTCAAAACAGGTCTGTAAAAAATAATAAATTTTACGTAACTCTGTGTTTGGCGCTTGCCCCTGCATGTCTGTAGTGATCAAAACATTTAAATAATTCAGTCAAAACAAAATGAAAACTAGCGAGGCAAATCCAAGGAAACAACTGTGCATCCGGGTATCTCATTTTCTAAATTATTCATTTTCGTAATATCTGAATGTATTTTAATATTGAACGTTTGTTCATTGAACAAATATTAGGCGCAGTCACGAAACTTTCTAGTTTGTAGAATACAGTTCTTTTAGTTGGAACTCAACGTATCTAAGATTCGCCATGAATTACGTCCCTCTGATTCTCGCTTCTCTTATGGTTTGTTCCCTGCATAGTGGTGAGTTGTTACCATGTAGTATCGTTGTTTGTGTTTTAAGCAGTTTTAGCACAGATCCTTTCGCATATTCTGCCAGCATGCAACTGAATGACACACCCTCGGGGTGAAGATGTGGGTAAAGGCAACTAAGCTTGTCAGAGTCTTTTTGTTTGCAAGGTCATAAGTTAAAAAAGTAATGCCTTGTTTTAAAGTTATATTGCTATCACGAGCAAGCTGGCGTAGATTGACAAATTCTCACTCGAGTTATTAGAGAGTTTAAGCATCACGTTTACGGCAGACGGCAAACGGCAAAGGTTACCTCTGATTGTTTATTCTTTTCTTGTAATCCTTACTTAAATCACACAAAAATAGAAAAATGTCTCCTGTTATTCACCGCAGATACAAGTGTTTTCACTCTGCTGTACAACTGAAGACAGACAGCAAAAGCATCATTTTTGCCGTTTACCGCGTGACGTAACGTCATGCTTCATCTCTCTATTTTGCTAGCGCTGTCACAGCTCAACGTACAACAAAACATTTCTACTTGTGTAATAATTTTTGCTCACAGAGTATTTATTCAGTTGAGTGCGGTTTTGACGGAAACTGTCGCAAATGCATAAATGAGAATGCACATGAAAAATCTCTCAGTCGAGGGAAAATCATTTTAAAGTTTATGCATGGTTACAAATCAAGGCGTAGCGAAGTCGTTTGATATTATTCTCGTACGCGAGTGCACCGCATTCAAAGAGCCAAATTGCACACGCCATTCAAAACATTTTGGCTCAATGTAAGGCTCCTTATTGTAGCGTAAAATGCCTCTTTCTAAGACTATATATTTAACTTAGGAGCAGTATCAGTACAAAAATAGTTAATATTTTGGTTGATTCGCCGAAAGCAGCCCAGTTCATCGAAAAGCAGGTGTATGCTAAAACAAAAATTCACACCACGCGGTTATCATGCCACGCTTATTTGGCCAATCAGCGATGATAAAAGTCACGCCAAAGTGATCGCGCCACTTTTGTTAGAAGTTTGCCAAACATCTGTTCGAATATTACGCCTCCATCAAGTAGCAGGATAAATTCATTCATATCTACCACTAAACCAACATCAATAAAGCTAACATAAAGCGCGAAAAAGGAGTTTCCAACGTAGCTAGTCAACCCTATGAAAACAAAATCACCGTACTTAATTCAAATAGCTCAGCATTGTTCTATAAACAACAAAAACAAATATTTTTGAACATCAGCAGAAAATAACATTGAATTAAAATTATTTATCGAATCGTTTTAGCTCTGGAATGCATATGCCTGCTTGATTTGAATAGATTTCAAATATCTTTAAAAAAAAATTAAAATGATTCATTTTAGTAAAAGAAAACAATATTTATCAACTGATTTTGTACGAAATGTTAAAGTATGCTCGCGCAGCATGAGATATAATAGTGATGGGGTTGCTGGGATATCAGCCTCCGACGCAGACGCTCTTTAGACTCGTCAAGCAACATTCCTTTCCCACGAAGGGTCCAGGTGGGGAGGAAGATTGCGTGACGAGTCCAAAAGCATGTCTGAGTAGGGGGCAACTGTCATATCAGTTATCAGTTTAACACTGTTTGGCGATTCCTTCGCTATCAGTTAAGATTTCAGCCCATTGCTCACCTTTCAGTAAACTTTGGCACATCTCATATATATCTCCAACGCAACATTTGTAAGTTAACAGATCTACCATAGTCTCGGCTAACAAATTAAGAAGTCTGCAATCAAAAACTAGGAATTGTACGAAAAGATAGGCACTCCTTCAAGTCCATATATATTAACTGTAAATCAAAACGCGTCCAAAGTAAAAGAAGCTAGTATGCATGCAAAGAGGCTGCAAACATTTCTTTTATTTCCTCTTAGGTCCAAGCAGCAGAAATATTGAATTATCAATATGTTCAATTCAACTTAATTCAAATACTTTATTTTACACTATACAGTGCATTTTAGATACAATTTATAGGAAAAGTAATGAAAAAACTGCACTACTGCACTTCCAAAGTCAGGTTGATGTGAAATACAAACATTCACTGCTCAAAACAATGCTAAATCGTGCATTCAAGCTTTCCTCAAGTAGGCCCTTTGCACGATCCGGTCACATGGTACGGAATAAATTGCGCTGGGACGCAAGTTACACAGTGGGATTTCCAAACAAAGGAACTCGTTCCAGTCCAGCCTGACTGGAAGTTCCACTGTGTAACTTGCGTCCCAGCATGATTAATTCCGTACCACGTGACCGAATCCTGCAAAGGGCCTATTGGTAGCTTTTCCATCAAGAATGTGGACGTCTCAAGGAGACCAAACCAGTTTATCATACAAAAGTTGTATAGGAGAGAACAAGTGCCTGATTCAGCACCAGTCCTCTCACCAGCAGGAAGTTCCCATCAGAGTTGTTTTGCCATTCAAGGACCAAAAATCGGCGAACTCTGTGCGAAGACAACTTGGCGGATCTGAGCCGAAATATAAAACCGAGATCCCTCCTGTTTATACCAGCCGTTAGATCAAAGATGAAATCAAGGTGAAAGAACAGAAATTAAACCTCCCGTTGTGAACCAACCAATCAGTTTAAGTGTGATCTGTGCGATGCAGATTAGTATAGGTAATCATACGGTTTCGAGTTCAATTTGGAATTAATTTGCACTTGTGAGTTTTTCAAAAAGCTGAAATTGCACGAGCGGCTTCAGCGAGTGCAATTTCAGCTTTTTGAAAAACTCACAAGTGCAAATTAATTCCAAATTGAACGAGAAAAACTGTATGATTACTTATTAATAATATAAACATGGAAAAATTCGCGTGGAGGAAGTGCTGGGAAGATCTTTCTTGAAGCCATTTTTTCTCATTCGAGAAAACTTTTCTCAAAGTTTCCGCACAGAATTTTCGTCATCATTTCACGTGATATCATTGGCTTAAAAAATTTCCTATTGTCTTTCAGCCAATCATAATTCAGAATTACGATAATAATAATAACAATAATAATAATAATAATAAACGAATCTTTAGACAGGATTAACCCATCAGTACTATAAAGTACTGTTATCAAAGGGGTCCAGTAAGATTTAAAAATTTAAAAATTTAAAAAAAAGGTAAAAAGTTAAAAGGCAAAACTAGTACATTGGGAAACATATAAAAACTCACGATTAAAAATTACAAATAAAAATGTTCGTTGGCCTTTTGCCTAAATAAAAGCCTAGAGTTCAGAGTTCTTATGTCCGCCGGTAAACTGTTAAAAATTGAAGCCCCTAAAAACGAAAAACTCCGACGGCCAAACTCCAAGTTCATTTTCGGCAGTTCGATCGAGGAAAAACTATTTCTTGTGTTGACATTGTGACTTACCCTTGTAAAATAGTTCTTAAAAGGCGTGCATACATTCCAATTACACAATCAAAAACATACAGACAGACTTTTCTTTTCAAATGAGTAATTTGCATGTATATTATTACGTCAGATATTCGTGCCGGCACTTGCATCAGCGTATCGAATAACTTAAAGGGTACAGCAGGTCCAGTTTATGGAAACCCAAGTTCGGCACCCTATATTGGTACAACGGAACTTTTTCTCGTTGTTGTGTTTGTTGCTTTTAGTCGTTTACGAACTTGTTTTTGCGCACGTAATATCCCTTATTCCGTTGCCCGGGTTTTATCCACGCTTTTCTTTTCCCGTACGCCCTTTCAGTATTTTTCACGCATTTACTGTGAAGTTACATTATGCATGCCAAGCGCATTAAGCTTAAGAAAAAAAAACCTTTTATCGCCTATTGTTCCATATACATATTTTAGCGTTTTCAACCATATATGTAGGCATGTAATTTTATTCTTCTGTCAATCTTGTAAATGACCGTTGAACGGTCCAAACGTTGTTCACTTATAGCGTTAATTTTCATCCCTAAAAGTGATGAAAATAGTTTAAAAAGTTAAGATATATAAAGCCGTAAGGAAATAAAATATATATTTGAGTGGTAGCCAAAGTAGCAAGAGCTTTCTGATTGGCCACCGCCATAATCAAGTAATGTCAACACTGTAAACACGGATTCACGCTGCATACGGCTTCTAGTCTTTCTACCTCCACCGTTTTCCAGGAAATAAAAAAATAAAAATAAAAAAAAACCAGTAAATATTTGTGATAAACTGATTCTAACGAATAGTGATGATACCAAAGGCGCATAGTTTAGAAGCACAACTTA